GCTCAATGCCCAATGCGCCAAGTCTTGTGTATACCCAGACATGAAATGACCCAGAAGACTGTTTTCTCGTAAGCTCTTCTCAGCGTTTAGTTGGCTAAATTCAGCCAAAACACAGGTCTGCTTAGATTCTCCCCGCACTCACCCCTCTTTCAAGCGATTGTCTGTTGCTACAACTGTAGCACGCCGCGGTTGGAACTCCTCGAAGCAGTTTTCCATTGAAACAAGATAAATGACATGCTTGCAGTGATGGGCTGGCAACAACGTTATGTCCCAAAGTCTCGTAACCTAATATACTAGTTTGCTACAACTTCAATCTCATAAACCGAGTGTATAATTGCTGATCTCGGTAACCTTGATCGATAGGAAATGTTTGAAATGCTGACCTCTGTACTGTGTAAAAACACCCTGCCAAATCACATCATGAAGCCATATAGAAAATTAGGTAAAATTACTGGGCCTTCCGAGCTTCCCAAAAGGATCACCAAGGCTCGAACAAGAGAATGTGTCAGACGGTACAGCTAACAGGTCAGATTACGTGTCTATTTGAGTACTTGAAGCACATAAGGTCTAGATTGAAGATGCTGGGTTATCTTACAACCATATATCTGCTTGCACTCACCGGCTTGATTAGTTACTCTCAGCTAGAAGTTGGCATCTAGTTTCAGTATATCATACGTGAAAGATGGCGTGTTGCCTTTGAACAGGGCATCATTTAGATGACCCTTTACCTGCGATGCTATGCTTTGCACAACTGCCGTTTGATTGCTCAAGACGAGAATTATCTGTGATATCAAACTATTTGTGATATCAAACAAGGCAAACTGGAGTCTTCTACGAAGGCAAGACGTCTTCTGATCCCATGCACCTACCTGGCGGCAAGTAGTGACACAGTTCAATGGTTCCAGGGACCATGCATAGATGGGTGACTGTGAAAGGATAGCCCTCCCAATAATGCTAATGCGGCTCAAGCGCCACAAAATCTTCAGCTATCTCCTCGCTGGAGCAGATGTTAGATGCACGCGAGGTTTAAGCCGTTGTGAGTATCCATTTATTTATTTTATCTTTCGACTCGGGTAGCAAAGTGACTGGGGGCTATTAATCTTGTGACTACAGTATCCAGTCTTTAATGATTGAGCAAGCTGCTCCTATAGATAGACAGTCGCGGTGATTAGTGATGTTGAAACTTCTGTCCTTTTGGTCAGGCGTTTGCTCAGCACCACAATCAAGTAGGTACGGATTACGTGGTGGCACTTGAGCCGAGTGAAATCCCGGGACAATGTGCCGACAGGCAAGCAGTTTGCCAGCCGTGGCGCGTTGCATCGCAAATTAAAGACGTGCTCAATCTCAAATTAATGCGATTAAGTGCCTCCAATAGTCTCCAGGATTCCTATCTCAAATAAGGTAAGCCGCATTCGATTCCGTCCACTCTTGGCTCCAACGTCGTCTTACTATAAGAATGGCTCTACGACTACAGTATATGAGTGAGGTTATCTTAACGATATCATTGTACTATATCACGACATGCATCCTTTGCTATGATCCTGGTCGCTCTCTATTGCTGCCGCACAAGAGCCGGCACTTGGTCACGACTGATTTGCTGAGAACGAACCCAGGTCTCAGTGATCTTCGTCGACTCGTGCCTTGTGATTCGGTTTGGGATCCTCGTTTCATTAATAGCAGAGGCTGCAATTGGAGATTCTGCCCCTCTATGGCAGCACATGAAACGTAGTCTGACCAACGGTAGCCAATACCAGCAGCGTTCGCCGCCGGCCATGTACTCCGCCCTTTAAAATGCTATCATCTCGGGCAGCACCTCCATTAAGACTTGCGTTGATGCACCTGACATATATGGACCTTCACGACATTGCGTTTCCAAATTGCCACCCATTCACCCTGTCACGCAAGTGAAGTAGATAACCAGTCTTTCACGAAGCCGGCCTTGGCAGCTTGGCCCTGTGGTACATAGATGGCATCATAACGGCAAGCGATGATCTACACAAACGAGGGCGGATAGCCCGCCTGTGTATGCATTTGTAGGCGAGATAACTTATATAAATATGATGCCTCCTCGTGATGTTTGTCTATAATGCCCCCTTTCAGTACCGTCTTTTCTTCTTTCTCTTCCACCAGTGCATTTCCTATTGACCCTGCTCATTCGCCACTATCAACAGGCTCTGCTGACCTACATCTTCGAACGTACTGTGGTATTACCTGCACATAGCCTAATATGCCGGCCATGTACACGGCTCTTCTAGCTGCCATTTTTGCATACGTTGGAGTGGCTTCAGTGATTCCTACTCGGATAGGAATACCTACAGATTCATCGTCAGTCGGCAGGACCTTCTCAGTTGAACAAGTCCGTAATACGGCCTTTAAAAGACGCTATGGACCGTTAGCTCTTGCAAAGGCGTATATCAAGTACGGAGCAGAGGTTCCTAGTGACGTACAAGGCGCAGTCGAGCGTATCATCAATGAGCTAGGCCTTGAAAAAAGAGTTACTGGCACAGTGGCCGCCGTACCCGTCGAATATGATACTGAATATCTTTGCCCTGTCGAAATCGGGACACCTCCGCAAACCTTGAACATCGATTTTGACACTGGATCTTCGGATTTCTGGGTCTTCTCGTCGAGCACACCCACCTCCCAGGTCAAAGGCCAGACTGTCTACAAGCCTGGTAGCAGCAATACCGCAGAGAAGTTGACTGGAGCAACATGGTCGATCAGATACGGCGATGGAAGCACTTCCAGAGGAGAAGTATATACCGACAAAGTCACGATTGGTAACTTGACGGTTACTCAGGCAGTTGAAGTGGCACAAACTGTCTCCAGTCAGTTCACAGCCGATGCGGAGCTAGATGGACTTCTCGGACTGGCGCACAGCACTCTCAACACAGTCAGGCCGACGCAGCAGAAGACATTCTTTGATAATGTCAAGAGCACCCTTGATGCTCCAGTTTTCACTGTAGATCTCAAAGCCAAAGCGAGTGAGTTTGACACATGGCTCCCAACAGCAGTTGGCCTTACTAATTGATCTCGTAGCCGGAAAATACGACTTCGGATTCATTGACCAGTCTGCCTACACTGGCACCATAGCCTACACCCCTGTTGACAACACGGACGGCTTCTGGATGTGGACGTCTCCTGGTTATGCAGTGGGCTCAGATGCTTTGGGCACCACGAAGATAACGGGAATCGCGGATACCGGTACCACTCTGGCACTTCTACCTTCTACAGTGGTAACGGCATACTACAGGAAGGTGACTGGTGCCCGCTATGACAGCTCCGTGGGCGGTTATATCTTCTCGTGTAGTACCACGCCACCTGACTTTACGTTTGGAGTCGGCACCGCTAAAATAACCATACCTGGGAAGTTCATCAACTTTGCACCAGTCGACAGAGCTGAGACCGTCTGCTTTGGGGGAATTCAAAGTGATAGCGGAATTGGGTTTTCCATCTGGGGGGATGTGGCGCTGAAAGCTGCTTTTGTTGTTTTTGATGCTGGCAACGAGAGGCTTGGCTGGGCAGCAAAGAAACTATGATGAACCAGGAAACGGTAGCACTTCAACAACATGCAAACTGCTGTTTGTTCTAATATCAGTTAATGAGCAAAGGGCCCCATGATCAATGACAACGTAAATCATCGATACTAATTCACAGAACAATATAAATGCATTTTGTACATTAACGAGCTTGAGACTCCTCTCCAGCTTGATATAATTAGTATAACTTTTCGAGATTGTAGCCTAGAGACTAGCCTCTGTATTTTATAAGGTGACTAGTTTACCAGAGGAATATCAACAGCATTCTCTTATCGCTCCCAACGGCGAAACCCTTCCCCACTATCATAACGGGCGATTCGAGACACGCTAACGGGCGATTGGCGCCACATTGGAGTCCCGTAGCCGTCCTTATGAGACTTCATATGCCAGAGAAGAAGTTGTCTTTGCTATATCCTGTGGAAATGGAGAATTGAGACACCTGAGGCTAGGTTACGCCTAGATCCAATCATGTAAGCATTTAGCAACGGACGTTGGTCTTCTCTACTTAGAATAGAAATGAATTAGCAACTGAAAGAGACGCTAGCCATCGAACTGGATGGAATTCTATATACTTACTTTCAGAAGAAACTGGATCCGACCGATAGGAATTGAGTACTGGCAAGGTGCTGCAGGGATGTGCCAATTATATGTTTATTCATGCATGTCGTCGCTGTTCAAAGACTTTATTATCACCGACCACTGTGAATGCATACCCAAGCAGATGTAAGTTGGCCGCTAGCACGGCCGATTGCCAATGCCGAGTTTCGTTATCTGAATGCCAGCGCCGGCCACACCTGGCATCCACTTCGAAGAAGCGAGCATCACTAAAATGAAATGCCGAGAAGATCAAGCTTGGAGTCGTGATAAACGATTCTTTGACTCGAGGAAAGGTCGGAGTAGTGACGGAGTGTTATTATTTACAGTCACTTTGTGATCTCGATCTTCCTCCGTCATCCTTACAAGATGATGCGACGTACCACTCTGCTGGCTGTCCTGAGAACAACCAGATGCCTGTCCACTACGACTCGTGCGGGCGGATTCGACCTGCTTGGCAACTTCCGCAATACCATTGATGGCAAATTGACAACTACCAAAGAGACACGTCAAGGGATCAATCCTGCAACCGGGAAACCGAACCCACAGGTGCCTATCTCAACCCTTCAGGATGTCAATCAGGCTGTAAAGGCTGCTCAGAAAGCGTTCCCAGGGTGGGCATCAAAAACTTTTGAAGAGCGACAACGGCGTTTACTTGCTTTTGCTGACGCTATTGCTGAGCATGAGCAAAGCTTTGCAAAGTTGCTGGTCATGGAACAGGGTAAACCTGTAATGCTTCCACTTCTACCCCTACGAAACTCACAAGAGCTAACATTAGTGATCAAGTATATACGAGCAGCTCTCGAAGTCCGTAGTGCCGTTGATTGGCTGAGAGCTTTCTGTAAATTTGACCTCAAAGATGAAGTAATGGAAGAAGACGACGAGACGAAGATTGTCTGCCGTCATACGCCGATAGGCGTATCCGTTGGTATCGTGCCCTGGAACTACCCTCTTTCCCTTGCTTGTGCCAAGCTTGGTCCAGCCACCCTCGCAGGAAACCCGATAATCATCAAGCCATCCCCATTCACTCCATATTGTGGCCTCAAGCTCGGAGAGATTGCCCAGGAGTACTTTCCTCCTGGTGTTGTGCAAGTTCTAAGCGGGGATGACAATCTCGGTCCTTGGTTGACGGCTCATCCTGGCCCTGAGAAGATTTCCTTCACCGGTTCTACCGTTGTGGGAAAGAAAATCATGGAGTCTGCAGCTAAAACGATGAAACGTCTCACCTTGGAACTTGGTGGTAATGATCCTGCAATCATCTGCAAAAGCGTTGACGTTCGCAAGACTGCTGAGAAGGTTTGTGGCCGTTCTGTTTGGGTTGTGTATGAATAAAACTCACATTTTCTCAGGTGGCCCATATCTGCTTTCTCAACTCAGGCCAAATATGCCTTGCTATCAAACGAGTCTATGTTCATGAAGACATCTATGATGAGTTCCGTGATGCAATGGCCAAGTATGCTCAAACACTTAAAGTTGGCGAAGGAAACGATCAAGACGTTGTCATTGGGCCCGTACAAAACAAGACTCAGTATGAGCGCGTGAAAGGATTCTTTTCTGATATAGAGAAGGAGAACTGGAAGGTTGCTCTTGGTGGCAACGTTGAGGACAAGCCTGGATTCTTCATTGCCCCTACAATTATCGATAACCCTACTGAAGAAAGTCGGATCGTGGCAGAGGAACCATTTGGTCCAATCATACCTCTAGTATCCTGGAAAGACGAGACAGATGTGCTGGCTCGAGCCAACGGCACCCGTATGGGATTAGGTGCATCAGTTTGGTCGAACGATCTTGATCAGGCAGAACGCATGGCACGTCAAATTGAGGCAGGTACCGTATGGGTGAATGATCACTTTTCCCTGCGGTCTCATATCCCTTATGGTGGTCACAAAGAGAGCGGTGTGGGCCTGGAACTTGGTTTGGGTGGTCTGCTTGCTTTCTGTAATACCCAAATCCTGTACCTTAAGAAATGAGCTGGGCATTCTAGATCATCCCATGGCTTAGATCAGTAATCGGCTGCAGTCTTTGGAGATGATTTGAGCAAGTGCAGGAACAGAATGTCTAGGAAGCTCCGCATTCATCATATCTCCGCAATTGCTGTCGTTAGATTACTTGAGGGAGTAAACATTCTGCATTGGTGGTTCTCTCTCTTTACAATTGGCAGGAGGTTGTTGTAATAGAATAGGATGTATCTTTGGCTATTCAGAGTGATAGCGATCTAATTCTAGTTTGGAAACTTCCCAATAATCGCCTGAAGATCTGACTTGTAGTGCTGGTCAGGGGTGTTTCTGGCTTAGCACGCTAACAGATACACGATCATCCCTGTCTACACTCTGGTACACAGCGATAGCTAAGTCGGTGCCTGAGCCTGGTGCATCAGGCAACAACAATCTCACTCCAATCTTAAGACGCACTCAAGACACGCCGCAGATGCTCTCCTGAAGAGTCCACAACGCAGCCCCAAAACTATCGAGGGATTCGACGAAATGCAATCTTCCTCATCTGCTGGGTTGCCGAGGCTTCTTAGCTCTGATGACCTGGTACATTGCTTGATTCAGCATGTATGTTAAAAGATCACCTTCATTTGGTCTCCACACTCTCCAGAATTCAATTCGCTTCATACTGCGACTAAACAGTACCTGGTTGATAGATACCCTCACATGCTCATATCAGGAGTCTCTGCCTTGTTTCCAGAGACTTCAATCTCGTCTTCTCGCCGTTCTTGTACTCTCATCTCGTTTTCCACGATGGTAATGCCCATCTACTTCGTGATCCTGAGCAGCTTCAGCGTCTAGTATCAAATTACAGGCTCGGATTCGCAAAAGCTCTCACATTCAATCTGATGGAAGGCTCATGGGCAATTGGTAATGCTCATGAGGTCGGGCGCCTTGTCGACTCACCAGGCTACGGACGCTTTGGTGATATCAGACGTTGGGCTTGGATGTATAATGAGAGTATACTATGTATCCTTCGATGTATGCCAAAGCTTGTCAGCTTCAAGTGAGTCATTCAACTTTGCTGTAGCTCTGCTGTCTCGGAAACATTGAACGCCACAGCTACACGTAGGCTAACGCAATCTTACAGATGGGAGGCTTGGCCAATCTCCCAAATGCTTCAGGATTATCTCTCAGAAGAATGTCCGTCTCTAAGAGATGTCTCTATAATATACCCCAATCTATCGCGGTTTGCAAGGACTGAAAGGTTTTATCGAGAACGAGGCTCTTTTGATATGGAACGCCCTCACATGCTACCAGCACCCTTACCTGCCTTCAAACATCTTCGAACGTTGCATTTATATGAGTTATGCGGCGATCTCGGCACTTTAAGTGAAACAATTGCTTCAACGCTTCACCAGTCACAACATTGCCAGGAATTCGCCCTGTCGTTGTCTGCCGAATGCGAGCGATCTTACATAGATAGTGGCGGGGGTGCCTCTGCGCGTAGCTATTACACCTTTTTGAACTTTCTAACATCGGTTGTTGAAGACTATAAAGCCTCAGGGGCCAAGCCTTTGAGACTGAAATCTCTCAAGCTCGGGTATGGCGTACTACTGAACGATCCCGATGATACGACCAACCTTGTATCGAAGACTCCGTTATCAGATTTAACAGACCTGTCAACGTTAGAGGAACTTTTCCTGGATAATGATCTTGACGTTGGTTGTGCGATTGGCAATCGCAATGACCTTGGCCGAGTTGCTTGGCGCACAGTCAATTCCACCTCGATGGCACGGCTTAGACGGTTCAGCTTCACCAGTCTCTCTGAAAGAAGTCGTGATTGGCTTTGCAACATTGCGGATCCAGAATTCCTGAGATCGCTCGAACTTGGAGTCGGAACCGAAAGATTAGCCTACAGCTTTATTAGACCGGAGGACGGAATCATTGAGCGTGTTGACTCACAAAGCATTCCTCGTCGTATGAGTGCCTTTGATGAGAAAACCTTCTTCTTGAAGCCTTATAGACATGGCCTCAACGCGAACTTCCCTGTCAAATGCCGGACACTATCACTTCTGAAGAATCACTGCATTCCAAGCGATTTTGCTGCTTTGGGCTCTTGCAGATGGATTCAGACGCTGGTTATTTGCCTCAAGAAACATGTTGATACTCAGGGTTTCAAAAAAATTATATCTCTTTTCCCTGTTGTCGAGAGCCTGTGTATTCGCATTGGCATAGATCACCCATTACCTAGCGGAGGGGATGAGACGCGACATAAAGGCAATGTGGTTCATGTAGGCGATGGGCGGATCATAGACGAGCAGTTATATTTGCATAACTTTTGGCGAGCTAGATGGAAAGAAATGGCTGGAATTGTTGCCTCAAGCCGCAAATGTCCGGCGAAGTATCTCAAGATTGGTCATCTGGCTTGGAAAGTCTTGCCAAGGGCAAAAGGGGTTTCTATCTCTACCCTCGAGGAACTGGACACGTGGGCGGAACAGGCCGAATGTCCACACATTTTCCAGTATAATGATCCGGTTAGACACGATCACATTTACTAATGACTAATATATTGAGTCGGTATGGATTGGATGTCAAGATTAAATAGGATCACTAAACTTCACGCCGCTGTTGTACTAGCTGGCCTCAGCTGCAAATGACACTCTGACCAAAAACGCTTGTTCAGCTCTTTTTTGACCAATCTCTTGAGCTATTCAAACATGTTAGGCGGCCTATCGCCGAGGGCCCTGGGATTACTCGGCAATCGGCTATCGTACATTGTCATTGGTCTTCGATACGTGCATCAGGGGCCGTCGAATCCTTGAGAAACTGCCGCGTTGATTGTTAGCGTGGCCATGCCCTAGAGTGTCATCACTACTACGTACGCTGCAGGAACATGCCCAAAACACATCCGAACATGGGTTCAAGAATGTCCTCCTACGCCAACTGGACCTCTTGTATCGTCTTTTGTCCCTTTCAAGGTCTAAGTTTCAGTTATGGGCCGCCAATGCTATCAATCTTTGTCTTAGTCAGAGAAGTATTGTAATGATGCAGAAAGCAATCGACAGCCGTAGTGTATCTCCAGTTTGGGGTAACACAGAGGGGCTAGACACTACAGATGGAGCACTAGTGACCCAGGGATCAAGGGTCAAATGCCACGCGACAACGACAAGAAAACCAGGAAATCATGAAGACAGACGGTAAAACCATCCCCAACAGTCTCTCCACTGAGCTTACAAGATTTCACACTGCAGTATTGTCGTCTCTTCTTTGGTAACGAATCTCTGGTCTTTGATTTGTGCAATGGCTTCACCTAAGGCTGGGACTGTCTTCCAAAAGTTCACTTTCACATTGTGGGTAGCCTGTGCGACTACATCGCTGCTCAACGTGCTCTTTGGCTATGACACTACGAGTTTTGGCGGTGTGCAAGCAATTCCAGGATTCACAAAACACTTTGGAGATTCAGTGTCAGCCACTGGAGCTCCAGCGTTGTCCGCATCCCGAGCTTCATTCATGAGCTCCACTGCCTTCATCGGGAAGTTTGTTGGTGTCCTCGCTATCCCGATATTCATCGAATTGGTTGGACATAGAGTCAGTATTTGGGCAACCTGTGTGGTGAGCTTTGTTGGAATCATCATTGAGTGCACATCTGGACCCGTGTCCCAATTCGTCGTCGGAAGGATCATCGTTTACTTCAGGTACGCATCAAATCAATGAATGGACAGTGTCAATGAGAGCTAACAAACCCCCTCATCGTAGTGTCGGTATGGCCGAAGTCTGTGTCACGTATGTTTTCAGTTGCTGCTACAATTGGATGAAGCTGAATTTGCAAGAACATATCAAGCGGAGGTTGTCCCAGCAGGCGCCCGTGGTGCTGTAGTCGGAACTATACAACTGTTCAATCAAATTGGTCAGATCATGGCGGCTGGTATCAACCGATCTTTTCATCTATCAGTTGAGCCGAAGGGGTGCGTATGTCTTCTGTATTGGCCCGATTGGTATGTACTGACCATTATAGCTGGATTGTGCCCGTTGCCTGCTCCGCAATCGCACCATTCCTTCTCATTTTCGGTGTCTTCTTCATTCGTACGTCAATATCTGCGCGTATCCAAAGGTTCAAACCTAAGACTTCACTAGCAAACGGTCCCCGCTGGCTGATTAGCAAGCACAAGAAAGACAAAGCCGTTGAAGTTCTCGAGAGACTGCGTGACAAGGAAGCTGTCCAGGCTGGGCGGCCTCAAGCTGAGGCCGATGCCATTGAAGAGGCTTTGGAAAACAAGGTTGAAAAGGGGCCGTGGTTGGATCTATTTGTAGGTTCACATTTTGCGGATCGAGATCTCCCCGACTAAGACAAGGCAGCGTGGCACCAATTTGAGACGGACTTCTATCGCTGGGATCATGTATGTCTAACATTCCCTTTACAAGACGAACTACACTTGCTGATGGATCTTTCCCAAGCTATGTCTTCCAACAGCTGACCGGGCAGGGCTTTGTCACACAGTGTAAGTTATATCACCGAGTCAAACAAGTTCTAGCCTTTGATGATTTCGGTAATGTCCCACTGACTCAGAAATCAAGACTCTCCTCGCTTCTACGCTACCGTAGGATTGTCAGCTCATGCATTCGAATACAACATCGGCTCGGCCACTTGTGGCTTCGCTGGTTGTGCAATAGCAACTGTATTGATCGATCGTGTAGGGCGGCGCCCCTTACTACTTACAGGGGCTATAGGTCAGACTATTTGTCTCTTCATTATTGCAGGAATGGGCTTGATCAAACACCCCAATGCAAACGAATCAAATCTCCTGGTGGCTTGCGTGATGCTGTTTTTGTTTTTCTATTTTGGGTACGTCTACGCCTGTCTCTTCAACTATTCTACCACTAATAGTCTCTTCTAGTTTTTGGGCTGGCCCCTCTTATGTGGTGAGCACAATTGAGGTGTACGAATGCGAAGAAACGACAAACACTAACGTTTCAAAGATTGGCACCGAGATTGGCACTGCTGCACTCCGAGAAAAAACCCAGGCTTTCACAATTGCCCTAAAGTGAGCTGAACGAGTCGATATAGCAATGCGAAGAAATATATCTAATGTTGTATTACCAGCGTCGTGGCGGCATGGCTGGTATCATTTACGGTACCGTATCTTTTGGACCGTATAGGCTCTAACATAGGTTGGGTATTTGGTGGCATTTCTGCAGCCTCAGTAATCTGGACATATTTGTATGTACCAGAACTCTACGTAAGTCCATATTCGTCAATAACAGAGACATTATTAATGCCATGTTTATTCTACAGAACCGATCTCTCGAGGTGAGCGAGCTCCTGAGGCACTGTCCTGACACAAAGCTGACGCCCTTTTGGAACAGGAAATGGACGAACTGTTTGCTGTAATATACCCTCTTATGAGGCTGAATAGCTCTTCCCTCACAATATGCTTACTGTTAGTTCTAGGCACGCATTCCCGCACGCAAATTTGCAACAACCGAGACGCATGGTGCCGGTCGTCGGTAAGCATCGAAGGGAGGATTGAAGCGGATCTAAGTTAACCATAGGCTGTGTAGTGTTCGAGAATTGGAGAATGCAACCGACGGCGGCGATTCTTCAAATCCAGAGCCTGTTAAACGCGGGAACTACGGAAAGAGTGCGAGCAATAATGTTCAATATCAAGTTGGCCAGGAGGATTGAGAAATGGGGGAGGACAGGAGAATTTGTCGATCTACCTTGAAGACCAACAACTAAGCTATGACCAATTGCCTAGGGGAGATCCGAAAAGAATTGAGGATCGTGTCATAATCATAACAAGTAAATGTCTACCATCAGTTCTTATATGACAAAGCTCCCTCCTTCCTTCGAGCTAGTCGGCTCAAGCACCAAGTCCAGCAAAGTGCGGACGCTCGTGTAGCAGCTTAACAATGGGCAAGAAGACTGGCTCAGTTTGTTGAGGATCATTGATCATGTCCTCGACTTCGGCCCAATCTTTCCATACCCAGCCTTCGCATTTATCAGGTTCCAGAAGCTGCCAATGATCATATCAGTCTAGGCTATCAGTGGTCGCTAGCAAGCTCACTGACCTGTGGGTGCTGCTCAGGTTCAAGCATCTCACAGATCATGAACAAGGTGATATAATGTCTATCAGGATCGTGCCAGACACTGTTCGTGACTGCCGCGAGTTTTACCCCTTTGACCTGCAAGCCGGTCTCTTCTAGAACCTCTCGTTCAGCGCAAGAGCTTATCTCTTCGCCAAATTCAAGATGACCTCCTGGGAACGCCCATTGTCCTACCGCAATATGATCAACCCTGCCTGCCAATGGGGTTGGTTGTAACATACCTGCACCATGACTTGATTTCCTTCGTCCGAATACCACTCTTCCATCCGGTCCATACACAATAGCAGCAACACCAACTCGTGGGTCTGGCTTGGCCGTTTCCATGGCTAACCCCTCTCTCGAAGACTGGATGCGTGCTGCTTTCGGATGTCAGTTCTTGTAAGATCAAGCTTAGTTAGATGTTGACTCACCGCTCTACTGAGTGGCCGCTCACGCTAAGCACTGTGCGTCACAGGTAAGATGTGCACGGTACAGATTGGCCAAGACATATCAATAATATGTAATAGGCATGATGACACTGCTCATCAGCCCACCTCACATAGGACGATCTCTTCATTAATGACTGCAGCCTCAGCATGTAAGACTAGTCTTGTTACTTGTGTTTATACTGTGGCTCAAGGAACAGAGTATATCTAGCTCTGATCTCTCATCACCCTAGATCTAAATCCGTTATATTTCTTCTGGTCCTTTTGCATATTTACTCCTTTTTCTCAGCTTCCGACCAAACCGCCAGAAGATGAGAGGCGCTGGGGCCAGCACAGCGGCAATGCAGCCCAACAACGTCATGGTCCAATGTACACCAATGCCCTCGTAGAGCGGTCGTGCCGCTATCACCATGCTCCCGGCAATCATGTACCGAACCATTGTGATGCTTGCGAGGGCGATCGCTGAGTGGTCCCCGTAGCTGTCGATGATGTATTCGTAGCTGCTGACGTATATCGCGATGAGCACCATGCCGAAGACAAAGCAAGCGCCGAGACCCGCCCATATAGAGACAGTACTGTAATTAGTCCATCCCAGCCAAAACAGACATACAGGGAGAAGAGGTGCCATTACTATCGCGGGCCAGAGTCGGAATTCCGGCTCCAATTGCCTACCGCGCACATGTTCTGTCTTGTGTCGTGCCCAGCTATACAATGCCGGAGCGGAGAACGTGAAGAAGGTTGCCCCTGCGGCGATAGCGGCAAAACATGTGCCAGTCATCTCGACGGACAGCTTGTATGTCTGTTTGAAGATGTAATCGAACCCCGAAAGAAACGTGAAGAGGAGAACGTAAAGAAGCACCAGATAGCTGCCGAGCACGGCAACAACGGGCTCTCCTGCGAAGAACTTTGCTGGCAGGGGTAGAACCTCTCTCATCTTCTTGAAGAATGATGCAGACTCGGCATGTTCTGAGACGTAATTCTGGTTGCCAGTGACACTTCGAAGCTGTTTTGCTCTCCAGTCGAGGAGGACGGGGAGAAATGTCTCAGGTAAGAAGAGGAGAGCGAGAAGGAAGGCGGCAGCAGAGATGATGAGTGTCATCCATTCGGTCCAGCGCCACCCGAGACGCGGATGCGATACAATCCAGCCCCCGACTATAGGTGCAGTGACGGGAGCTGTGTATTTCAGTCAGCTTGAGTATGATATGGGGCAGCATGCGTCACAAACCAGTCACATTAGCCCAGGCGATGATCGGGAAAACGAACGATCTCTTGACAGAGCGGAATTGATCCCGTACGCTTGAGCCATTGATGCTTAGTGTTGCGCTGGCGAAGAGACCAATGAAGTATCGACAGACAAGCTGCCCGCCAAACGTTGGCGTCAAGGCGGCGCCTAAGACGAACAATAGATAACAGAAGCTCGAGATCAAGTACACAGGGTTCCGGCCGACAGTTTCAGACAACGGTCCAGCGAAGAGGGAACCAGAACCAATGCCGAAGAGATACATGGCGGTGGAGAGGCTCTCGGCGACCTTGCTGACGTGAAACTCCTGGCTGGCAGCCGTGTTGGCCATGGACTCCGCCGCACCGGCCCATGCCTGGACAAAGATCAGAAGTGTCAATATGAAGATGTTCTTGGCGCGAGCGGTCAATGGCCAGTTCTTGGGATCAAAGGGGTCATCGTCCCCATCTGTAGTCACCCATATGCGGTCGTCTTTGCTGTCATTGCTTGCAAGACCGTCAGATTTCGGGGCAGTGTTATTTTTCTCAGGATCTTGTAGCGTCTTTTCTGCACCTTGCTCGTGTGTATCTTGCTCAGGGGCTCTTTTGGCGGCAGCACGGACATCTCTTCCCATCCGACGATACTGGACGTACGACCACATCGCCAAGTGCGGTAGAGAGATCTTTCAATTGTACGATGCGGACAAGAGGGAACCAGTTGAGAACATGATCAAGGCAAAGAGAGCGAGATCTGTAGGGAACTGGCTCTTTCCAATATGTTATACTCACCGGAGCCTCTTCCCCCTGGCGATATGCTTCTCATATTGTATTCCCTGTTTTGGTCTCTCAACAGTGTCGCGTGCTCGATTACCAGACTAGTCACTGATGCACAGAGTAGCTTGGGCTGGTGAAATGATAGGGTCTAGACTCGGGTGTGACGTAGCCCGGCCAGTGGAAGATAAGTGCGCTGAAGTGTGGGCTAATAAGACTACAGCAACCCCGGCCCATTTGTGAGAGTTGCAGGGGGAGACAAAAGTCTTCATGTCGGATACCTAGTCAGGGCGTTGCTTGGCTTACGCGTGCATGTAGGTAGTCGAACATCGCAGGAAATGAGTTGTTCAAAGAAGCAGATGAGATGAGTGAGTGAGAATGCCCTGATGGCTGACTACCTAGACTAGGTATCATTACAAGTTTTGATAGATACTGTAGATGTTATCTGGCCTATTCCCCTCTACGTAGGGGTACAATGAAAGGTCGGATTGCATCTGGGTACTGTACCATCAAGTTGACGAAAGTGACGGCAACCATTCTGAAAACCAGTCCAAATCCCAGTTCCCCAAATTACTTGGCGAATGGCTTGCAACGCCCGACCCGACGGAATAGAGACTTGCAGGTGAGGTGCTATAACCAGGGTTGAAGCGGTCGAAGCGTGGAGAATCAATCTAGAATTCATCAATCTGAGAGCAACAATCTCTCTACCGGTGTTGAAAACCCCCATCGTCATCCCCTTTGCGATTCTTCCTTTGGCCAGGAAAATACTAATACTAATAGGCAATGGGTAGATAAGTCCGAAAGGGAGGCTTCATAGTTTGAGTATCTAAAGTAAGGAAGGAAGGACAGGTATTTGGAATGTGTTGTGGCTCAGCAGCAAACTGGAGAGCTCTTTGGGGGCAGTGGCGGGGCAGACAGCAGACATGACCTGCATGACTGTGGAATCATCTCTTTGGAGGGGCTTTTTAGAGGGGATTTGTCAGTCAAGTGTCCGTGCTATACGCTCGAATGCGCCATCGACGCTAAGCTAAACGTCACGACTCCAGGCTTCGCCCTTCCAGACACTCAAATATCTCGATATTTCGTCCTCGAATGTCAACTCGCGCTGGCCGCTTCGATTGAGTATATAATCATCCTTGAAACACCCAGAAATTGTCGCATCTAAAACAACCGCAACCGCAATCGAAACCCTCACAATTGTGGCTACACCATCTCACCCACCTCAACCCCGCCATCGCAGCTCCATCCTTACCACAACCACAGCTCTTCTCCCTCTAGCTTTCCTGCTTCTCGTCGTCACAATGTCCTTCTCGACCCCGTCATTCCTCTCACGACTAGCCCGGCCATTCACCGGGTCTACCAAGCTTGGGATCTCCGAGGTCGGAGGCGGCGCCGCCACCGCAGCAGAGTCCATCCCCGCCGGTGCGCAGAAGGCCACCGTCGCCGCCGGCTGCTTCTGGGGCGTCGAGCACATCTACCGCAAGCACTTTGATGGCAAGGGGCTGTATGACGCCAAGGTCGGCTACATTGGAGGTGACACCAGCAACCCCAGCTACCGCGCAGTCTGCTCGGGCAACACCGGCCGTGAGTGCTCGCCTCAATCTATCCATCCCCTTCAATGTGAGAGAACGAGGACTAATGGTTAACGTCTTGCCAGACGCCGAGGCCACCCAGATCGTCTTCGACCCGGAGAAGATCACCTACCGCCAGCTGATCGAGTTCTTCTACCGCATGCACGACCCCACGACCCCCAACCAGCAGGGCAACGACCGCGGCTCGCAGTACCGCTCCGGCATCTTCTTCCACGACGCCGAGCAGGAGAAGATTGCGCGCGAGGTCACAAAGGCCGCCAACGAGCAGTGGTACAGCGGCAAGATCGTCACCGAGATCCTGCCCGCCAAGCAGTGGTGGGACGCCGAGGAGTACCACCAGCTATACCTGGACAAGAACCCCTTCGGCTATCAGTGCGCGAGCCACTACTTTAGGGACTTCCCGCCGTTGAAGTGACTAGATGAAGGTACAAGTCGGCCGGGAAGAGATAGGCAACGGCTTTGATTTGAATGATTGAGGCATGTGAATACCATGATGGAGTTGGAGGTTGCATGTTGTTTAGACTTTGGTTTATTTTTATTATTTTTTTTGTTACACTTTGATATCAATACCAATACAGTTGTGATTTAGCACATTGTCTGTGCTTTTGATATCTGCTCCTAATCAATCAAGAGAGGAGAATATTGCAGTCCTGTCCGTGAACTCCAAGCAGCCCAGTCTAAAACTACTGTCGTCTGCTATGCTGCTGGATCATTCCTCCAATATATAATCACCCTTGTGCCACTGATGCCACCATCTTGCACAAGTTTTCCACTATCCGCATCATCATATCAAACCACTCTTTACTTCCTCCTATTCTGCTGCATCATCAAGATCTGTACCATACGGATGAAGATATTGAGGAAGTCGAGCTCGAGAGAGATGCTCTCGTTGACGGGATCCCGCTTGATGACGCCGCGCTCAGCCAACCGAGCATGATACAGCACCTTCTGAACATCATACAGGGTGAAGCCACCGAACAGAGCCAGACCACCGTACAGCCATACGCTCTCGGTCAACGCCAGAGCGCGGACTGCGGTCGCTGGAATGACAAGAGGCGCAAGACCAGAGACAGCAACGATGGCAGCACCAGCCAGGAGAGGACCGCCAATGTAGAGGTACTTCTCCTGCTTGGCAGTAGCACCAACAAAGGAAATCGAGCCCATCATGGCGACAGTGTAGAGGCCGGCACGAGCAAGCAATGCGCCGGGAACGAAAGCGATCAGGGGAGCGACGAAAGCAGCCTGGGTGGCGTTGAAGGCAGTCCAAAGGGCGTACTTAGGGACGTAGCTGTCATGATGTTAGTAATCCATGTAATGATGCGCAACTTAGAGAGAAAGGAGGGGAACCTACTTATCAGGGTCGATGGCTCTGGTTCCGATCATTGTACCAAAGCTCAGTGCCAATCCTCCAATTGCCATGACCCAGGGGTTGGTGACCATGATCCTGTACACAAAGCCGCTCTGGACCATCTGTCGGGCGGTCAATCCGATGATGCCGATACCCAAACCGGTGTGAAGGAAGGTATTGTTGAGGTAGGCACGCTCGAAGGGGGGCATGCCTCCGTCCTCTCGGGTCTCGCGGTTGAAGACGACATTGATGGCGACAAGCGTACCACCAAAGATGGCACCGCCCACCAACAACTTGCGAATCACAGAACCTCCATCTGCAGCTGCCGGGGGAGCTGATGTTTGGTATCCTCTGCCGCTGGCGCCGACGAGGCGGGCGACGATAGAGTTGCTCGATGACTTCGGGGTCGCGCGGACGAGAGAGGACGAGAGGAGAGAGGTCTTGCTGGTGAAGAAGCTGTTCTTGGGCGTCGACTGATGGAATGCCCTTGCGAAGCTAGCAGGGCCGCTTGAGCTTCGCGCAGCAGCTTTTGAGATTTGAGGGAGTCGAGATGCCAGGCGGGCTGGGCCCTGGCGGACTGTGATTGTGAACGACATGATTTGGCGACGAGCGCAGGTCTGCTTTTGATGCCGAACACAGAAGAGAAGCGTAGAATGGGAGGTAGGAGAGGATTAAGAATGAATGGACGATGCGCCGCCTCGTGCCTTCTTGAAGACTTTTGGAGGAGGTGACGGCGTTAACGGTGGTGGTAGGTTGTAGAAAGAGGAGGCAAAGCTGTCGAATGACGTTTGCCCAAAACGCTGCTGAGTAAAAGCTCCGCCGATTCCGTTATTCTTCGAAAAATTGGCGGGGACGGTCACGTGGAGCGAGCTGGAAGATGCTGGAAGTCGGGCCACGGAGCAGCAAAACGCCGATAAGCCCGACTACGATGCATTCTCATATTCTCAGGGCACCATCAACAGCAAAAACGAAACCTGCAAAAGCCAAGCTACTTGACGAGATCTAGAACTCTTCGAAGACTTCATTCCCCGAGTTCTTCAGGTTCTCTCCTTCTAGATTGAGCTCTCTTGTCCAGCTGTCTCGGAACTTAACTTGCAGCACCTTGTCAAGGAAGTCGCTGCAGCTTCCGACTTGCGGGGTGCATGTAAGCCAGCCTTCAGTCGGGACTTGAGCCTCCACCAAGCCTAGCGTCAAGTCAAGGTGTAGGGTTCCTACTTCCATCTCAACTTCTCTCTTCATCTCTTGTTTCTGGCACTGCTTTCCTTATCTATACAATTTAGTCTCATCGTACACGTCGCCATGCATGACGACTACCTTGATGCCAGCTAAAGACAACTGAGGGGCAGCTTCTAAGGCTGTCCATGGGCCCACTGGCTGGCTAGGTAGACTTGACAAGACGCCAGATTGCTTTTGATATATGATCTCGAGCGTTTCAACACCTTGGAGATGGCCTCTTTCCTGGCCATGTCGAACATAATCGAACAGTGTTCAGTCGATCAACTGTCAGCTGAAGAGAGATGCTCGGGGCTGCTGTTCTCTGGCTCTCGGCTCCATCTGGGCTCGCGGGGTGTAATAAACCGGTAAAATTATGGAACCAGTCGCGTCGCATCGTCGATACAACCTCCATTCTACCGGCACTTCGCAGCCGATCGCCAGGTACCCGCATGAATAATAGCTGCTTTAACGCTGGCTATTCAATCCTATTGACTTTGTGCACGCTATTGGGCAAGGCGCCCCCAAAGCCCTCTACTGAGTAACCATGACCAGGCGCCAATCGTACACGATGCTACCGCATTGTCTCTTAAGTAAAGTCAAGTGGCCAGCTTAGTGGTGCTACTCTACCATCGCTCCGCGAGTATCTTTTCCAAGTCTCCGATGCTCCAATTGGGAAGGCATTTTCTTGGTCCTTACGGTGGTCGCAGTTCGATAAGATCTAGGGTAGGCCAAGGTACCTTAGGTAGCTAGTATGGTGAGTGACTTTCAGTGGCCCCGAACTCGCAAGAGCAGTCACGGAGGTGTGAGGAGGAGGTAAGCACCTCCAACTTACCCGGCAACGTTGATACCCGGTCCCGAATCTCTCAAGGACTTCCCATATGAATTCATATATTTCTATGTCGTGGAAGCGGCGACACGGCAAAGACTCATTTCCACCCTTCCCTTTGGTTTGATTCAGGGCACTGGGAGTACATATTCTAGTCGTATGCATCTCTCCGACGCGCACAGCTTCTGCAACTCACCCGATCTCATCATCGTCATTGGAGTTTCTGAAACTGTTCCTCGTTGAGAGTTTGCGAACCATTCACTTGTACGCAGACTGTTCATTGTACAACACGTCGCATACCACAGCTGATTGCTCAGGACAGGACAAACCTCACACAACTGCCATTGGAAGTCTCTGCTCAAGCAATCCATCAGCCACGTCAAGTAAGACTCTTTGCGCGAATCGAAGATGCTCTTCCCTCAGCTACTTCTGGCGTTCCTCGCCACGACGACCTTTGCCGCACCAGCAAGCCGCGATCAGACCCCGTTTCAAGCCAAGTCGCCCGACACGATTACTCGCGCGAGGCCCAAGCACGATGTCTTCAGGACCCCATTTGTGGTGAAAGGGCCACCGCCTCCAAGGGGGTCTGAGCCGTACAGCGCAAGCACCGGGAAGCAGGCTGGCGGCAAATCGTACTTCAAGACGAAGTGGACGCGGCCGGGCGACAAGAAGAAAGAAACCGGCCCCACGTCTTGCTTCTGCGCTGGTGGGTCGATCTGCTGCCATGCTGCTGATGGCTTGAGCTGTAACTACGGCGTGTGTGGGATTTGAATCGACACGAGGGCTATACGCAGGACGAGAAACTCCATCTATTATGAAGCCCGGCCAAGGGGACATATCTCAGCCTTGCGAACACCAAGCTACCATCACTCTGCGGGGATTGGGACATCAATATTGACGAGCCGAGCGGATGCCGACGCATTATGTCCATCGAATTAAACGAGAAGATTCAGACTTGGACTTCTCTCATGCTGCACTCAGGGACGGTGTCCAAGCTGCGAGAGGCGAGAAATGTGTCTATCAGATATTGCCAGCATCACGTTACCATGGAGGGACTGGGCGACAAAAGATGTGAGGGCGTTTACCAGGTGTTTTGTAGGGCGCAGTTATGCCATGAATATATCTGGCACCGGGGTAGGATTATGTCAACCCAATTCAACCTGGCATAGAACATCAACTTTTAGCCAGGCGACCCTGATTATGAAGTTGGCGAGCCTGGCATCACATGGAGGGCCGAGGCGGTGGCCGTGGCACAAGTTTGATGAGACGCGCAATGAAAGGAGCGATAACAGGCATCTTGTATGCCTACGACTAAATAACCATTTTTGTCGATGGATCTTGGGCAAGATGAGAACCAGGAGTATCACTCGAAGAGCTGTTCAGGTAATCACGGCATCGTGTAGAGCCGGGTGTTTCAAGCTGTAGCTTGGGCTTTAAGCTTAATGTGTAAATGGAATAGATCATCTTCTTCCTGTCTCATTTCAAGAAACTCGGCAAAAGATTGATTTGACTGTCAGTCAAAGTATGACCCTGTTCTAATGTGCTAGAGTTCCCGATTAGTGTCTGTGGCGTTTGTCATATCCGGCCACGTCCAATGTTCCCTGCATTAGCCTCGAACCAACACTGCCGCCATCGAAACGGAGGCGTCTTCAGGAGCGGAGTGGAGTTCACGGGGACTGGTCTTCCCCAGAATGACCTTCCTTTCTAGGGGTCGTGAAAGGTGTGAAGAGGGCGGTGGGAAGGTCGATGCAATAGCAGCGGCGCTATCACGACACGGCTGTGCTGTGGGATTGTTAATTTACGAGAGATGTGCCCCCCCCACGACCGTAGCGGAAGGTCGTCTCGACAACGAAGCCAGCAGGCCACGATAAGGGAAAACTAGGTGTACATCATGCTACATAGCAGAGCTGCATTGCTGTAGTCTGCATGCCAGGCGTGTGCCAAAGTACTTGGCGTCCTATGTAGACAAGTTGAGTGAGATAGGCACCGTTGAAGGGGGCTGAGAGATAAAAGACTCCGGACACGAGCAACTGAGACGAGCGGCTCGCGTCAGAATTCGAGTATGACATCTGATACAAAGTACATCATCGCCGTTGTTTACAGGCAGCAGTGCATTCGTAATCAACTCAGCTCAAACTCCCTCGGCGCAAGAGAAAAAGAGAAGCTAAAAGACAGTAGAAAAGGTTTCCATAATGACATATGCGCTCTTTGAAGCAACATATGAGGAACACTCATCCATAGAAAATCCCGCGGCCTAATGTCTCTTAAAGGAATGGACGGGCCACGCTGGCCTTCTAGAAGCCTTCCAAATGCGCCGCTGCAGAAGCCAATACTTGCTTTTCTCACCCGGTTATTGGTCCTGACTTGGAACTGGTGTGCTCTCAGGCTGCATGCTGCAGGTCTCTCGGCCTGGCTGCCCTGAGAGGCTTAAGAAGAGCAGGATTGTGGCGTCGCCAACGCTGCGAGCCGTCCATCCAGGGGTGTTCTGTCTAGTGTAAGGCATTGCTGGAGAAGCGCAGCTTGTCAGGCCCTGTAAGGAGGGGTAAGTAGAACCTGGACAGCGAGACGCTAGAAGACTTCTCGAAAACCGCTCGGAAGCAGGGCTCCAGGGCCCCTGGCGTTGGCGAGAGAGGAGTGACGCCCGTGGCGGAGTACCGTATTTTTTTGTTGTGTAGCGAGCGCATCGCCGCACAATTGCCGGCGGCTCCGACATGACCCTCGGCACTGACGGCGCAAATTGTCGTCAGAGAGAAGTTTGCAAAGCTGAAAAGGCTATTTTAAGAGCGGAAAAAGGAAATAAAACGTGTCGCATAAATTGTAAAGGGGAAAGAGTCTCATTTCTGGTTGGGCTTAGGACTTCTCCGCCGTGCAATTTGCCATGTGGCTACCTACCTTACTTACCTTACCGGTACTTACCTCAGCCTGCATGAGATGACTGACATGAACATGAACATGAATATGAACATGACAGGTGAAGAGCCTTCCCGGCTCTGCGCTTTCACAGGCTGCCCGCCCGCCATCCGCCTCGGGGCATCATTGTGCGTCATGTCACTCGCCTCTTCAGCTAATGCGATAACTCCAAGACAGTTGGATGAGTGTTTGTGAGTACCTAGGTATCTATCGGGTTTGTCATTCTTTGCCGTAGAAGTGTTTCGCCGCAGAGGAGCAGGCTGCATCTTCGTAACTTGGCCTGTGATGTCGCGCATGGGCATGGTTGATTGTTTGAGGCAGTGCCCCCAATTACGACCTTGAAGTTGCAGCGTAGATTCAGGATTCAGATACACCCAGGCATCTTGTCCCTCTGTTGAGAGGAGGGAAGAGATACGGTGGCCTCTTTCCTCCCATCTCTTCCTAGGTACCTACTGTACGTATGTGGGAAACCTGGTTCCTGACAACTGCATGTCCTCTCCACGAACCTGGATGCAGTGCAGTGTGTCATTCACTCGCAGCGTTGCTGTAGCTCGTGTCGGGAGGTACATAGTAGTTACTGGAAGGTATCATGCAGTACAGTCCTGCAGCAGCTTGGCTTGCATGTGGAAATCGCTTCTTTTTTCTTCTTCTCGGGGGGTTGTGTTCTAACAGACCTTCTAGAAACGACTCTTAGCCAGGGCCAACCCTGTCGACAAGGTAGCGGTAGTCTGCTCCTTGTCATTACCGCAACCGCAACCAACTCCAACACGGACTACTGAAGGGGGGTTGCCGCTCTCGGTTGGTAAGCCACCCTGCGCCCCGTGCTCCCTTCAATCCCTCCCCCCAAATCTGATTACTGAAGAGAATGTTAACAGGCGACCCAGCTTTGGGAAATAAGGGGATCGCAGAGACATCCATCTGTCCGTCTCTCTGTTTAGGTTTAGTCTGGAGAGAGCAATGACAAGAGAACAGATGATATGATTCTTGAGAGCACGGAGAATAACGTTAAGACATTCGTGAAAGTGAAGTGAGATGCATGCGGTCCAAACTAGTCGTGGAGACTCTTCAACTCAGCGTCTAACGTTACGAATTGAAACGCAACTCAATCACTTCAAGTGGGCCAAATCGACACGTCTATCTCTCCTTCTTTTGTCTCCCGAGTTGCATCATCACTGAGTGATCTCAGCTAAGGTACCTGTACCCTGTCTTACTCCTTTCACTTGCGCCCGCCGGCATGACAGCGGGCCCTCACCTTGCAGCCAGTAAGTACCTACAGTACATTCAAGTCAACCGGGATTCTACAACAGACAACAGCACGCCAAAGTAGGCACAGTATCTACTTGCGCCCATACAGTACCAGTAGCTCTTCATTCAGTCCGTGTTTGCTCTAGACTAGTTGCCATACCATACAGAAGTGAAGTGAAGGACCGAAAACACATGGTGGAAATACTCCATGTGTTTTGGACTCTGAGAAGGCGGTCTGGGTGACCCTCCAGCGCCTCTTTTAGTTTGCTGCTGACAAGTCATAACGTTACTGTATTGTACAGTACATGATATACACCCTCCTTCTACTTGGATAGATACATTGCCCGCCTAATCAAGCAAGTTGCCGGCCATACCTCACCGTTATTTTTAATATCTACACTGACACTGACCCTGACAGGCGGGCGCTGGTTCGCGTGGGGGGTGGCCGCCGCCGGCCGTCACCGTCACCGTCACCGGGGCTGTATGGCTTGGAGGAGGCATGACGGCAGTGCTTCTTTGGTGGAGAAAGCGATGACGGGTGGGAGGGCAGGAGGGGATGCAGGTGGGAGGTGGTGGAGCAAGCCCAAGTAGCGGTTTTAGCTTTGGATTAGCGCACTCGCTCACACTACTCACTGTACCTCCTAGGTACCCTCGTACCTGCTGTAGGTACGCTAGGGAAGGGACACTACCGCCAAGTGCAGCCAGCCTGAGTGAACTACCGGTACAGTGCAGTGCAGCGCAGTGCTGTGCCAGTGCTGTGCCAGTGCTGCTGCTGCTGCTGCTGCTTTCGCTACAGATCGAGCGAGCCCCACGTTTTCTCCCAATAACGTTAACGTTATCCCAGACATCATCCATCCACATCTTTGCCTACTTGCCTTCCTTACGGTAGAACTAGAACAGACAGATCGGTATCCCCACCAGCCAACCATCGCTCTCTTCACTTTATTTCACATCATTCCACGTCCGCTCTGCCTTCTCCCGGTCCATCTTCCTATTTCCGTTTACGGTATTAGTGAAGCTCCCAGCTAGCTTCAGCTTCAACTTCAACTCCAACGGCAGCTCCATCTTCAGTCGTCAGGTCCGATTCCCATCCCGATCCCATTCTGTCTGGATTCGGAAGCGTGGGCTGGATCGACCGGCTCGTCTCTCTCCCTACCAACCTCACCTCGAAGCTCTCTGTGCTCTCTGTGTGGCTCGGCCTACCTGGATCGTGCCTCACCTGAATTCCTCTCTCTTTACCTTCCATTAGCCTAAGGATAAGGATATTCTTTCGATCTCCCCGGAAGACGAGGGGCGATCCCGCCCGCCTGTTCAACCCTTGCGCGCGCGTGCTCTTGTTCCTCAAACAAGCCGGGCTCGTCACCCCGTCACACTCACTTGATCGCACACCCGCCGTTGGACAACCCAAGCTTCAGATTCCCTGAGTCGGGAGCCGCCTTATCGTTCGGTCAAGTTTCGTTGCTGTCAGCTCTGCTTCGCATCTCCAGATCCAGTCTTCCAGCCGTCTACGGCCTACTTTCCGGTCTTGTAGGTTTCAGCACATTCAATGATGCTCTTCCAACACAAAGAAGAGCACATGGCCCTTGCAAGGCATTGAATATTAATCAAGTTTCGCTCCCAGACGCTGGTCAGATTTGTAGCGGCGCAGAGACCTGCAATCGGACGACATACCGAACAGTGCGATACCATACAACACCAACCTGAGCCATGCGCCGACCCCAAACGTGAAGTGCTCCACGTTCCGATCAAAGACCTCCCTTTCCCAGTGGAGAGCTTATCCGAGCAGCAGTATCCAATCTACACACGACATATTCCCTCGTCCAAATCGAGCCGCTGTCATCTCGTGATCCATCCTCTGCCGCAGCGACCATCCTCCGTCATTGAACCTAGGTCAGCTACGACAAGCTCCAATCCTGTCCGAGCATTGCCAGAGCGGCTCCCCACACGATCAATCCGAGTGGTCCTCAGATAGCAAAGGGCATAAACCGAACTTCTCCAACATCTTGCTTTCACCCGCTCTGCCGTGCTCGCTGGCCCTGCGTGGGGATCCCGCTCTCGCTGTTCCGGGGTATAGCATGAACCGCCCCCGCCTAAACACCACTCCTACCACCTGCCTCCGCAATCTACAGCAAACGGGGCCACATACACGTCATTTAATAATAGTTCAATTTCGGAATCCCTGGAGAACGGCTGCGGAGGAAGCTTCCGAAGAGCTCTGCCAGGGGCAGTAGCTCTCCACGGTTTGGAGAACGCCCAGCTTGCGCTTCCAACCTGCTCCCAGCTAGCTGCCGAGCTTCTCACCGTCTCCAGGACACGCGAGCAAGCCAGTGGGGAGGAGCAGCTGGAGGCCCCCCATATCGACCATGAGGCGGAATCGGAGTTCATCCTCCCCCTCGTCGCCCTACAGGGCCTTGGCCCACCACCACGCCCAGCACCATGGGAGCAACGCGGCTGGTGGCCAGCTTGTGCCTGACTCCGTCTCCTCTCTCATCAGATCGTTCAATGTCGAGACCAACCCCACCCGCCCCATGCGGCCCTCTCCCCTGACGGCTAGCACTATTCCAGACATGCCGTTGGAGATCGTCGATCGCATACGCTCCTTTCCCCTCTTCATGTCCGCCCCCGAGGACTTTCTGGTGGCCATCGGCGCCCATTTAAGGCCTCAAGTCCACTCCGCCCACGACCATATCCTGACCGAGGGAGACGACGCCAAAGCAATGTATTGGTTAGTACGCGGCGTCGTCGGCGTCACCTCGCGTGATGGCGAGGCTGTCTATGCCGAACTCAAACCTGGCGCCTTCTTTGGCGAGATCGGTGTGCTCATGGACATTCCCCGCACAGCTACCATCATTGCGCGAACAAAATGTCTTCTCGTCGTTTTGAAGAAGGAGGACCTCCATGCCGAGCTGCCCAAGTATCCGGAGATGGAGCAGGCCATCCGACAGGAGGCGCAAGAACGACTCAACATTTTGAAGAAGAAACAGCAAGACCGGGGTCATGCTGCCAAAGTGCCTGACAGTAATACGGCAAAGTTGGCGCGCGAGGCAGCCCCCGGTGAAGTGTCTACTGGCGAGGTAGGCGTCATCAGAGAAGGTGTTGTGGTCAACACTAAGAAACGGAAATCACCAAGCCCAGGTGTAATCGAAGACCCTGCGGTCGGTGGTAGTGCACTTGGAAGCGGCTTCGTTAACATTCGAAAAACGCTGAAGGAACTACCCCTTTTCACCGATCTCCCCGTCGACATTCTTCACTTCCTCGGTCTCAGTGCCCAGCCTAAGACCTATTCGCCATTCACAGATATCGTGCGCCAGGGCAGTCCTGGAAATGAGATATTCTTCATCGTTCGAGGTGAAGCCGAGGTCATCCATGAAACGCCAAACGAGCCCACCATTACCCGAACAACGCGCTCCTCCATGCTGCGACCGCGACTGAAGCAAGGGCAGTATTTTGGTGAGGTAGCAAGCCTGGGTCTATCTCCTGGCAGGACAGCTACAGTGCGCTCGATCACTACCGTTGAATGCCTCATGATTGGTGGAGACGCCTTGGACGAGCTTTGGCGGCGCTGTCCACCGGCCATCCGATCCCAAGTCGAGGAAACGGCCAGAAAGCGATACCAGAAGTCAGAGGAGGATGTCGAGATGAAAGATTCCGAAGGACAGAACCAATTGGAGGTGACAGAGGCTCCATTGACACCTACAAGGCAAGTTCCGCCTGAAGTCATCTTCACAACTCCATCCAAGCCGGCATCGCCAATTAAAGACGAGCCCGAAACCAGAACACCTAGTGATCCGGATCCTTATCTCAGTGTTGACATGGAAAACCTGCGAAATCGTCGTCGCAATTCGCTCGCACCACCCAATCCGCAAACAGAAACATCTTCGCCAATAGTCCCTAATGGTGTCAAGCCTCATGCAGTCGAGAGCAGCCCCTTGAAGCTGTACTCCACCTCCGCCCCTACAACACCACCAGACATCGACATGCATCTTCCATTGAAGAAGGCGAGGACCCTACCGCGTCGTCCGGCTTCAGCGGTCAAGCCTGCTCTACCTGATGATATCTTGATAGCAGTCTTTCAGCAACTTGATATCATCGAGCTGATGCGCTTGCGTCAGGTGTCCTCGCATTGGCGCAAGCTGTTAACAACGTCTGAGAAGCTCTGCCAGCATGTTGATCTTTCCTCACACAATCGACATGTCACCGACTGGGCTATTATTAATGTTCTTGGTCCGTTCATCAGCACACGCCCTCATTCTATCGACATCTCCAATTGCTTCCACATCAGCGACGATGGCTTCCAGTCGCTTTGGCAACAGTGCGGGAAGAACGTAAAGTCTTGGCGGATGCGATCGGTCTGGGATGTTAGTGCTGGCCAGATATTGGATATGAGCGAGAACGCCAAGGGGCTTGAAGAGGTGGACTGGAGCAATTGCCGAAAGGTGGGAGACAACCTCCTTGCTCGAGTTGTAGGGTGGGTTGTTCCGGAGACGCCCCCGGAGCGTGCCCAGAAGAACGTTGTGATCAGTAGTTCCTCCGCCGCCCGGGCCCGAAGCATGAAAACGCAACAGCAGTCTGGTCAGAGCCAACAGGGGCAACAGAACACACCTCCTCCGCCTGGAACGATCATTGGCTGTCCAAAGCTGAAGCATCTCAACCTCTCGTACTGCAAGCATATCACTGATCGTTCCATGGCTCATTTGGCCGCACATGCGTCTTCCCGTGTGGAGAGCTTGTCTCTGACGCGGTGCACATCGATCACGGACGCAGGCTTCCAATCCTGGGCTCCATTCCGCTTTCCCAATCTGACCCATCTCTGTCTTGCGGACTGTACCTACCTTTCGGACAATGCCATCGTTGCGCTTGTCAACTCGGCCAAACAGCTCACGCATCTAGACTTGTCATTCTGCTGCGCTCTTTCCGACACTGCTACCGAGGTGGTCGCCCTGGGCCTCCCACAGCTCAGGGAATTGAGACTTGCCTTTTGTGGCTCGGCAGTCTCTGACGCCAGTCTGGGGTGCATTGCTTTGCATCTGAATGAATTGCGTGGCTTAAGCGTGCGTGGCTGCGTGCGAGTGACCGGCGTCGGGGTCGAGAATGTTCTGGAGGGATGTGGGCGGCTGGAGTGGCTTGACATCAGCCAGTGTAAGAACCTCGCAGGCTGGCTCGGAGGCGGCGGTGTATCGAGATGGGGTATTGACGAACGCGGGCCGGGCGAGTGGAAGCCCATGGTCACCAAGTCTCCTCCAGGGACCGGCATAGGTTTCGGGGTTCTCGGCGGACCGGGTCCAATTATGAGACCAGTCATCCCGCCCAGAGGCGTGCGCAATAGACGCGCGAGAAGACCGGTGAGGTTCATCGTGGAGAAGGGTGCTAGCGGGCTCAGATAATACGGCTTTGGGTATTTTGGATATGGAGGCGGGCTCATGACGACATGATTCCATGAGGTCAGGCTTGGGATGTGGGATAATCACTGTCATGGACACATTATGGTGTAATGGGAGACTTGGTTGGCATTCATAGGGTACTTATGGGCGGCTTTTCGTCACATCATTGGGTTGCGGGATACAGGGGGCATTGGCTACCTCAGCAGGGGCGGGCGGCTTGTAAGCATTGGGTTGGTGGACTGAGAGGGCTTATTTTGATACCCCGTGTTCCAAGAATTTACGAATCACAGTTTGCGTTTTGATTACGCATCCTTGAGTGGCCTACTGTCGATTCATGCTCAGTTGTTGAAGCTACTTAAACGAAGATGATGGATCTCAAGGCCCCGAGTAAGTGAAAGCTCAGGGGGTGAGCTCCTGGTAGCGGAGGTTGACTTAGGCTTCCATAATTGCCTAGATGTCACGTGGGGCGGCTTCCGGCGCTACTGCCATCCTTAAAGCTTAGCATACGTAGGCCTCAATTCAATGATTCAATCAAGTTGACTGAATTTCATACAACCAGCTTGACCAAACAATCCAGACAAGATTTTTCGGTTGAATAACAAACTCATGTCGTCAATCCAATATGCTTATCTCATGGGGAATGGTCAATAAGTTTCAGAGCTCATGGGCTTGAGACTTGGCTTGGAGCTTTACTGAGGCGCTGTCTCTGCCCAACGTTCACCAGCATGCCGACAGTTCGCTGGCCTCTATCGACATTGCTAACGTCTCACCATGGTTGGAACACCGAGGAGTCGCGGGTGTGATACATGTCGCAAGCGCAAAAAGAAGGCAAGTCACGCCTTTATCTGTCCAATTCACGATAGCTTCTAAACCTAATTTGATTTGTAGTGTGGAGAAGAACGTCCCGCCTGCCTCGTTTGCATCAAGTCGGGCTGGAAGTGTCCTGGCTACAGAAAAGATTGGAAATTTGTCGACGAGAACCAACAACTACGCAAAACCTACGCTTCAAAGAGATATGCATTCGAATATGAAGATATCGCCGGCAAGGGTGATGGCGATAACAGGGTCTTCCTCCATCAAGTTGACCGGGCTCACGAGATCATCCCTTCTGAGTATGGCACGTTACGAATTGACATATCTTGGCCAATGGCTACAACATCTGGAGAGAAGATAGGATCTCTGCTCTGCCACATACTCACAGATCCAGCAAGTCAACACGTTTTTCAGCTCCAGTCCTTGGGCAACTTCTTTCAGTTCATTCCGAGCCGTCTCGGGCACAACGCTGCGCTGGACGCCTCTATCTCATGTCTATGTGGCATTTTCACCAATATCCTCCAGAACAAAGGGACAATGTCACCAAGAACACTTAGCCGATATGGTACGAGCATACAGGCCCTTCAGAAGTGTCTCAGGATTGAAGCCTTGCGCGCTGATCCGAATACTATATGTGCATCGATCATACTACAGTTATGCGAGGTACAATATTGCGCTATATGTGCTGAAGTCTTGCTGATATGCTGACTTGGGTAGCTGATGACCTGCCAAGATACAGGGCGATGGAATACCCTGTCTCGTGGTTCCGAGGCACTGATCAAAGAATGCGGCCCTGAAAAGTTCAAGTCTGCATTTGAAAGGGCCTTGCTCGAATCCCAACGCGCGTTCTTCGTGAGTCTCGAAAGCTCTCATGCTCTGATTCTGGCCACCTGACATCTCGTAGATTGTTCAGAATATGGCGATAGGCCAGTCGTGCTTCCTTGCTGAGCCGGAATGGCGAGATGTATTGGAGTTACCGGATCCATCGCTTACACATCTTTCCCAAAATACTGCTCTGAGAAGCGAGCTCTGCAATTTTCTCGTCGATATCCCGACGCTGATTTCAGAAATTGCCGTGTTCCTGCCCGAGGGTCCCCCTACCTCCTCGTCATCCAAGCTTCATTTCGAGAAGCAGAGGTTGCGATTGAGAAATGTGACATTCGATCTAAGTCAGCAACTAAAATCTTGGCATCACCGCAACTTTGGGCTCGTTTCAAATCTCATTCTGGAGGCGCCTACTCTTGACACGTCAAGCCTTCGAAAAAAGACAGGTGATTCTCGGGATTCAGATAACCCAGAAGGGACTCTTTTCTGGGTCGTCAACTGCGTCACGAATTCGGTTCTTGTGAAACTTGAACAGCTTCTTTTCGCGCTTGACTCGATAAATGAAGACTTTCAAGACGTCAGGCACCTTATGCGCTTGGAAGAATATCTTAAACACCAAGAGCTTGCCAGGAACGCACTCGAAGCTGTTGGTGATCAGTCACGCATTGCAATTAAGCCGCTTATATTCGGACTTACCCAACTCTGGTCGGGTGACGACCTGATGGCGGCTTCTTGGAGCCGGAGATTTCAACCGTTCCTCGATGATAGTTGTTTTTATTGGCGGGACGTGGCCACCTTCGACATGAAGCCTTAAACTGAACTGCTATCAACCAAGTCTAGGTGATTAGTACATGTATCTGAAGGTATACGCCCGATCGCCCATCGCCGAAAGCTCCTCGCTCGTGAACACGCTTCTACCTTCGGCCATCTTCCTCTCACGCTTCCTGTTGATCGTGGTGTAACCTGTGATCAGGATCAGAGCAGCAACGATTCCTGCGCAGATGAAGCCGAGCTCCAAGCCGTGCCCGAGGACATACTTGGGCTTATCCTTCGCACGATAGAAGTTGGATGCCATGGCCTATGCAGCATGAGTGTCAGCGAGGTTATTTTGAGCGAGTAACGTGGAGAGTTCGAGACTTACACCACCGAGGTTACCGACACCGATCTGGATGGCCATGCCGGCGCTGCGCTTGTAACTTCCCGCAAGGTTGTTCGCGAGCCAAGAGATGACTCCAGGGAATGCAGGGTAGATGGCACAAGCCGCGACGAAGACACCACCATAGACAACTTTGGGGTGCTTGACGGGGTCGGCAGTGATACACATTGAGAATCCTACGATCATCATGCACAAGAATCCGATGATAAAGGGGCTTCGCTTTCCGACTCGATCCGAGAGATAGGCAAAGACTACAGCAAGGATAGCAGCAGTGATGTAGATTGGGACTGTCATCAGCTGCGCTGTACTGGACTTGTATCCGAGATTCGCGATGATGGTAGGTAGGAACAGGCTGATACCGTACAAGTGGCAGACGATCTGAATTACTGCGGTCAGCTATCGCACCACTCCAAGTTCACAGACCGAAGAGGAGAACACTTACACCCCAGTAAACAAAGATGTTGACCCAGATCTGCCAGTCGCTGAAGGCATCACGGACATATCTCCACTTGAACTCCTCGGCCTGGGCTACGCCGGCGCCGCCTTGTTCCTTGTTTTGTACCTGGCCCTGATATTTCAAGCGAAACACCACAAATGCTCGTTCCTCTTCTGTGAGAAATGTGGCAGTCTCGGGGAAGTCATGCAGGACGAAGAAGGCCAGAACCGCCACGATTACGGTAGCGATGCCTTCGAGGATGAAGATCCAGCGCCAGCCTTCATATCCGCCCACGCCGTCCATCTTCGAGATCCCAAAGGCGAGAAGACCGCTGAAGGCGCCTGCCACCGACGCTGCGGAGAAGAATAGTGCCTGTCGGAGCTGGATCTCGTGTCGACAATACCACATTGTCAAATAGTACTGCAAGTGTAATCAGACCACGAAGCATTGCAATGGTTTCGACATGGACACCTACAGCAACACCGGGAAAGAGGCCGGCTTCAGCAACACCCAGAAATAGGCGTGCTATCAAAAGCCCATGGTAGTTCTGGACGATGCCCATCAAAGTCATGACCGTGCCCCAGCCAACCATGATGAATGGCAGCCACCTGCTGGGGCGAAGCTTCTTCAGTAGAAGATTGCTCGGCACCTCAAAGGCGGCGTAGGTGAAGAAGAAGACAGTGAGGCACCAGTTGTACTGATTTGCCTCCATGTTCAGGTCTTCCTGGAGCCCTTCTATCTTGGCGTTGCCAATGTTTCCACCTAGTCACACCTTTAGTATCAACCAGTTCACCACGCACGCAGGGGTAACATACGATCGAGGAATGAGAGCAGATATAGGAGTGCCAGCATGGGAATCAGGCGCAAATCCATCTAGTAGGTTATGAGCTCAAGGTATTGAAACTGAGGAAGATCTGGTGTCAAGTCATACTTTTCGAAGGATCTTCTTTTCATCTAGATGGGCGAACGACTCCAAGGTAACCCCTTGAGCCGTTGCCATTGCATCTATGCGTTTGATCTCCTCTTCCTCTTTGAAATGCCCATTATGATTGTGTTGACGGTGCTGCTGCTCGCGACCGATCTCATCCTCTGCGACCTCAGGCTTGTCGAGATTTGGAGAGTGTGGACTCATGTTTGCAGATCCCCGCCTATTCCTGAAGAGAGTACTGTAGTAATATGATATGGGCGAAGGTGGTTGGCAGACAAGCTTTTATCTGCAATGCTTGGTTTTCAGACAGAAGAACGCACTCTGAGACAAGACAAGGATGGGCGAGAATCAGATATGAAGAGTGTATTGTCACGGCCATGGCTCTTTATCAGCAACCTGGAGTCGCCTTTCCCCAACCTTCCCCGCCATCGTCATCCCCTCCCCCGAGATGCCAAAAGCACAATGCTTACAGGCTCCTGTGGAATGGCCCCGTGGAGACGATCCGGGACCCATCCAAGAACTGTCACTGGCGAGGGCCGTCGGATGTTACCATGTCGTCAGCGGCTGGTGGCCCACGAGCAGCGTCTCTTGGCAGTCCTCACCTGCCAGTCAAGCAGCCATCGTCCCACTACAGACCGCCACCGTAGCGGGTTCCCCGCACCCCACGCTTAGTCCTATCAGTGAGTTTTGCTGGGGATCGCGTGTACGTCTACTGGATAGTAAGGACATCATACCGAGACTCACTGCCGGCCGACAAGGATGTCCGCAGTCTAGCGGAATGCAAACCGCAGTGGTTCGGCGTTTAGGGGGAGTATTGAAGTGTAGATAGGCCGAGGCAGTCAGGTTGTCGCGATGATAGCCTTACTTTCCCTTATTAGGCCGTGGTACGGTGCCCAAATGATTGAATGTTTGTCTTGCTGTCTGTATTCTGGTCCCAAACAGTTGGTTATGCATGCATGGAGAGTGTCTCAACGTCCACGTTTCCGCTCGTCCTATCGTGGCTCCATGCCGCTCAGCACAAGAGCATGACAATGACGCCTGTCACCCAATAAGTAGGGATGATTGCAAGTCGCACCATACCCTCTCCGCTGTGTTTGCCCATGACCTACTTGGTCGCCTTCTGTTTCGTTAAACTTTGTACGATGGGAAACACGGGAGTAAGTGTTTGGCGTTGATAACTTTGCGCAAGGACCAAAAAGAGACAGCACGCTCAGCATACCCCGTGACGGCTAGACCAACCTACAGTCTTCTCTGCTGTGCCAAGAAACACTTCTACACTTCTACACTCTACTTTACTTCAGAATGACAAAAAGCTGCGCCAGCCGCGAATCGAACGCGGGGCCCATCGATGGCAACGATGGATTTTACCACTAAACCACTGGCGCATTTCGGGTGCTGCGAAAATGATTCGCCTGGTGTGGAAATCCTCGTAAAAATGCCTCTTATACCTATCTCGTTAGCGGCTTTTTCTTGTACTTGAGTAGTTTACCCGCATCGGCCTCAGCAACTCGAGAGTCAACGAGATTGTCGTTCCTCAACTTTGTTATTCCATCAGGAACCGTGGACTTCGATCCAAGTCTCCCAGTGGAGTCATTACAAGAGGAGCAGATAGAGTCGGAAGCCCAGGAGTTCAGACGCCGATATAAGGCAGCACAATTGATGCAAACAGCCAATGAATCAGCATGGTCGTCAAAGAGATGTTATGTCTGACAAGGTAGGGCAGCCACGGTTACGCAACTCATTCATGCCCATATGATTGCATGCCTAGAATGTTGCTATTTTGAGAGAGAGAGAGAGAGAGAGAGAGAGAGAGGTCGGCGTAAGTGAAAAGAGACTCTCCGCGATGTCGATGCCGGGTTGAAGCTTCGCGGCCATCATGATTAAGACAGAAAGACAATGGACAGAAAGACCGGCGCCGATGATTGGCCAGCGCGCGGAATGAACCTCAGTCTGCGAGTCGGCAGGATCGGGGGGATGCGCTAAGGCGCCGGCTGGACCTCGGGACCGCTGGGGCGTCTCCCGTTGGCTGCGCTAAGCCCTGCAAATGACGCCGGGTCGGTGCTGTGTTGCGAGTCTCGACGCCCGTAACGGCACGGCGCAGAGCCCAAATCCCCGTATCGCGGTCCCTTTCGAGGCAGCGAGGTGGTTCTTGGACCTGCGTAAGACAGCATAGAGACTGGGTCGGGCGTTGAAAAGCGCCGGTCAAAGTCCGAGGGGATCGTATAAGAAGAGGTGAATCTCGCTGTGATGACAGGCAGTTGTGATGTTATCCATCCATCCACAAATCCAAGACACACCTCAGATCTCTCCTCAGACGCTTGAATCATTCTAAAAGAGGCACAACCAATTCGATTGGAACTCGGTCATTTCCATACTCCTTACAAGAACTTCTCTTCACATATTCGGGTCAAACTGATCGGCTACAATGGCGGCAAACGGCACATCTAAGGCTTTCAAAGTGGGCATCATCTCTGGCAGCCAGCGCAAACCCCGGGCCGGCCCTCAGATCACCGACTTTGTCTTCCAGACGATCTCGTCACATCTGGCAGCCAGCAAAACGACGTCGTTCACATTCGACCACATCGACGTGGGCGACCTGGATCTCCCGCTGTTTGATGAGCCGATCGTCCCGTCGCGGGTCTTCTCTGCGGATGGGTACACGAAAGAGCACAGCCGCGCCTGGAGCCGGCGCATCGCGGCATTGGACGCCTTCGTGTTCGTCACGCCGCAGTACAACTGGGGAATCCCGGCGGGGCTGAAGAACGCCATCGACTATCTGTTCAACGAGTGGAAGGGCAAGCCGGCCATGATTGTCAGCTACGGCGGCCACGGCGGCGATAAGTGCGCTGCCGCACTCAAGTTGGTGCTGGGCGGCGGTATTGACATGCGCGTGGTCGATAAGCTGGTCACTCTTCAGTTCCCGGACCGCAGCTTCCTCATCAGCGCGGCGACGGGCAAAGATCTCGGGCTGAGCGCCGAGGACAATGCTGTCTGGGTCGAGAAGAAGGCGGACCTCACGGCGGTATGGGAGGAGATGGTCGCGTTGCTGGTGACTGCTTGATATTATGTGATGGAGTCCTGTATCCAAGCAATTCGCAATTCTTTTATTCAGCTCGGGTATCTATAGATTAAGGAAGGTTTTGGCGTTTGGAGTATCCATCTGATTACTTTCTTTCGATTTAGACTAGTAGTTGAGAAAGACGATGCAGCGTTGATAAATCCTTTGACTACCGGTACAATGATAGCTGATATCTAAGAGACGTGCTGCAAGATCGAGTATTGAGATGTGTATGAAATTGAAGTCGACGCCCCCCGCAGCTTGCCGTTAACGTTAGACACGATCAACGTATTGTGTTTGACTTCGAGAGTCAAGCTTGCGTGAGCTTTCATGGCTTATACTTGGATGCTCAGCGAAGAGCAACACACAACTAGTACTATGCATATGCTTTGTTGATTGACCGCAGCTCGCTCACAGCAGCAGAGTCTACTGCATAGTACGTCGGCTTCAACACAACTCAAGCATATCATATCGAATGCCATCACGTAACTCAACCCAATTGAAGCAGTCCGTCCTCCAGACCCCTGCCAGCCCATCTAGAGGTCAACCTCGAAAGGCCCTGCTATACCCTGCCTGAGCCTACCACTTACAACTTACACCACTGAGAGGTTTTGAGCAAGTTTATCAACCCCCCTGGCGTCGACCACAGCGGCCTTGGCGCTGCTAATGCAGGGCATCCAGGCGAGCCAGGGCCTTTCGAGGGGCCTCTAGCGCCCTCCCCCGCGCGGTGTCCAGGCCACTCAGCGCCCGTGCCTCCAGCCAGGAGGCGCTGTAATTGGGCGAGGGGTCCCAGATGGGCTCCCGAGAATCGAGATGGCGGGTGCCAAGCTGCCGCCATGTTCCCAGGGGCGGCGCCGGTCAAATCAGATAAAACATTGGCTCAATGGAGAGTGCCCAGGTGTACTGTTAATGTACTGTACTGTACAGCAGGTACTCTACCATTTGGAGGAGGCTCGTTTGTTTCCTGTCGTCTGAAGCGGGATTGTTATTATTCCCTCATTTTTTTGCGCCATTCTCATCTCCAGACAGGCAGGCAGGCTTAAGCGAAGAACTGCTAGGAACTGAACAACCGAAGACCAACGCAAACGCCGCGTCTTGGCTTCTGGGAAACTTGCTCAGTGAGCTTTACCGAAAGTGTAGTGGTCCGCCGGGATGAAGTGTAAGTGGCTTGTTGTCATGCTTATCGATTGTTTCTATACAGTAATACAGTCGGTACATGACAATTCCACACCAAAGCGCATCCCCACAGACAGTCCACTGCGTGTTTAGTCTAAAGTAGGAGCAAGTTACTCTGTAAGAAGGCCGGCTCCCTGGGATGGCATGGTATGGCATGGTATGGTATGGCCTGTGGGCTGAAGAACTTGCTCGCTGTAGATGCAGATGCAGATGCAGATGTAGTCGGGCTTGGCAGACAAGGTGCAGAAGGATCCCGTCCGTACACACCACACCACTCACCTACCGGTACTGAACAGCTTGGACCTGAGCTCGTCGAGCAACGGGCCACAACAGTGTTCAGGTTCGGTCCGGTCACAGCTATAAAGACGGCCCAGGAATCTGCGAGCCCCACGAGCTCGTCGTTCTTGGTATTCTCGCACCTGGGTGACTACCTAAGCAACCTAGCTCTCGCTATCATCTTGTAAAGCTACAGTGCCTCAACATATAAGCTTGAGCTTAAGCTTAACAGCTGCTGTCCTGAGATCGCTTGATCCCCTTGACTCCCTAGGATACCCCGTCGGCATGGCCTTCAAATCTCTAGCTTTGCTCGCCGCTGCCCAGCTGGCATCTGCACATTTCGGCCTCGAGTATCCCGTCTGGAGAACAGACACGCTAGCCAATGAGGACGGTCCATATTCGCAGTGGACGTATCCATGTAAGCTTTCCCCACGGCCTGTTGCTTGTGCAGTCCATCCTGCTCTTTCTGCAGAGTGCTGACATGTGATGTGGTAGGTGCTGGAGTTCCTAGCAATCTGACCAATGCCAACCGGACCGACTGGCCACTCGCTGGCGGCTCCATCGTGCTCGACCTGCACCACCCGTGGGCATACATCTTCATCAACCTAGGCTTGGGTGACGGCACAGTCACCAACTTCAACTACTCGTTGACTCCCGAGTTCCTCAACTCAACCGGCAAGGGCACTCTGTGCATCCCCACAATCCCCTTGCCTTCCGAGCTCAATGTTACCGACGGCACGCCAGCATCGATCCAGGTCATCACCCTTGGCGAGACCGGAACATCCCTCTACAACTGCGCCGACATCACCTTCCGCGCCAATGCCACGGCTCTCAGCGGTGACGCCTGCAAGACGGACGAGGGCGTCAGCTTCGTTGCTGTGCAGCAGCAGTCGAATGATACCGCGACCAATGGCACCACTGGTTCCAACTCTACTAACTCCACAGACAGCGGTAGCGGGGAGAGTGCAGGCAGCGCAACGGGTGTGAGCATGGTGGCTTTATCGAGTGTGGTTGGACTGGCGGTCTTATTCTGTCTTGGAATCGGCGCTTGAGTAGGATCGCCTTCAATGCATAGTTGTTGTTGAGGTGTGTATGGTTGGAGACGATGTGATCATCAGAGCCTGAATTCTTGTATATCTTTAATACCCACTATGGCGAAACGAGCAATGATCATTACTGGACTCCAATGTGTGATAATGAGGTATGATGGCTCTGATGTCGGGTCATACGCGAGACATCAGCCCACAGCAGGCGCATGTAAGAGGAGGTAAGTCAAACCATACTTCACCTCTCTCGTCATCGCAAGCAGCGCGTGTAGGGATGACAGTCATCCAATTCAGTGTGCGCTACGTCGCTGTCGTCCGTTCAGCCGGCTTTGTCTGCATCACAAAAAAGCTCTGCCATGAGCCGTCTCATCGTAATTCTCTGGTTAGGGTTGGGAATCAGCATCTCCGCCACCAGTCTCTCCAGTTTATCGGCCGGGTTGAGTCGGTCTTTGGCTTCGTTAATCTCGCTCAACCATACTTGCATTTGCTGAACAGCACTCGGAGCCGAAGATCCCCCGGCAGCAGTTGAGCGGTGGTGCATGGGTCGGTTAAGGTCCGCGATCATCCAATATAGCGGTCGCGCATGTGTCTGTCTGCCACGTGCGTCCGGGAAGGAGATCTTTCGGAGCACGTATAGCATCGTAATACCTAGCGCCCACACGTCACTCGGTGCGCCCCGAAGCTTGCGCCCGATGAACTCTGGCGGCACATAGTACGGCGTGCCACCGGTTGTGGCGGGCTTGTTAGATTGCGTAGATAACCCAAAGTCGCATAGCACAGCACCTCGTTCACGGTTATACAGGATATTCGCCGGCTTAATATCATTGTGTACCAGGTTTCGGCCATGGATGTAGTTCAGGGCACCCGCTATGTCGCGCAGGATTCGCGTGGCGTCCGCTCGCGTGCCTGTGAAGTAATCACCATTGTTGGTACGCCACATGCCCTTCGCTGACAGGTCACGCGCATCAATGTGCTCCATGTACAAGCTGAGGTAGCGTGCGTCGCCACCATAGAGACGCACAATGGAATCGTGCTGTAAATGCTCCTGCATTTGATACTCCCGCAACCAGATATCAGCCTGCCGAATGACGTTTCGCTCGGTTTCCTGCGGCTTAATGAGTGCTACATTGTTCGCGGGCCGAGTCTTCAAGACTTTGACGGTGATAATATTATCCGGCACGTCAGAATGCTCGCCAGTGAAGACGGAACTGAGGGCCGTGGATGCTATAGGATCCTTCTTCTTCAGCTGATATGTGTCGATCTCGCAGCCGCCTGGTATGTTAACGATATCATCCTTCTGCATCTCCAAGATGGGATGACCATTGGCGCCTACGAGGTCCTTGCTCCTGGCAGCAGTGGGTAGAGGGAATACAAGCGGGTTGTTGGTAACACCTGGCCGCATGAACATGACAACGCCATCGTCTGTGCGGGCGGTGGTCTCTGTTGTTCGAGGCTTCTTGTCTGGCCCAGAATTGTCACCACCACCTTCATCATCCGCCACGAAAGACCTTTTCCCGGACGGATTGACCATGTCGCTTAGGGACGATGTTGATGAGGATCCGGAAGGGAGTCCCAGAGTGGCAGGGCGCTTTTCCAGTATCCTAAAATCTAGCACATCTGTCTCGTCGGCCTTGATTCGCCATGTCCCTGGGATGAGGGCCTTGGTCGTGCCTGGATTCACAGTGTATTCCATGCCAGGACTCGCCGCGGGATGCTGCGATACTCTTGTCAAGGCGATGGGAATATCTGACCGATTCAGGAAGATCTGGTTGTCACTGGCGGGGTCATAGTACAACTCGCACCACAACGGCCGCCGCATTCTCTGGTCGACCGTCTCCCCTGGGATGCGAACTGAGAAATTGATGTCCTTGCTCGTCTGCGTCACGGCGAGCACCTTGTGTTCCGGCTGCTCCGGCCTGGCCACCTCGGCCCGCAATGCTAGCCACTCGCAATTGTCATGATTTCCGGGACTGACGGACCGTGACCGAGTCAACGGTCGAACTAGGATGCGAATTCCCTTGTCCTGGGGCACTACTAGGTCGTCCAAATGTACGGTGCCGTTCTCGCTCAGGGCAGCGGCGCTGTTGGCCTCCTCAACTCTGAAACTCCTCAGCCGAGTATCAATCTCACTCTGTGAAAAAGGCTCCGTCTTCTCCTCGGAGGGCGACTCGGAGGGCGGCTCTACCCGGAGGGCGTGCATTGTAGAGGCGGGTATCCGCGCGGGATGATGTGATGTGGTGCAGGGCAATCAGGACTGACGGTGACGACGGCGCTGACGAAGGCCCTTGCACGCGGTGTGTGGATGGATGGATGGGAAAGAGTCACAGAAACAGACTCGCTAGACCTTGCAAGGGAACAAGAGAAAAGAACACGGATACAGTCGGGATAGAGTTAACGTCAACGACAGTATACAGAACGAAAATAGCCCTGAACAAAGCTGAAAATCGTGGGTTGACGTCTATGCCACCAAACGTCTAGCTTAGCGGGGGAAATGGACGATGGGGTGAGCAATTGCTAGAGATTCCTTATTAATGAGCAGCAGAATTGGCTGCCGCACAAAATGCAACAGGGGGAGCTGGGCCACAGGGGAGCCTGCAAGGCCTGACTTCAGCGCGAATGAGCCGGCGTAGCCATCGATGACCGCGCAGGCTGATGCAAAATGCAAATGAAAGCAACGCGAAACTGAACAGAAATCGGAAGAAAGAGTCAGATGCGAATGAGTTAGTTGAGCAGTTGAGCAACCTCAAGAGGCGAGTGATAACAGGCGAGCCCTGCTGACTGGGGGGGTCTCATAGCCTCAGCCTCAGCGGGCCGCCAGACGGACAGTCATCGAGGCGGCCAAAACGGGAGCAAGCGCGACGGGTGCCTAGCATGAGACCGCCACCGAGCTTTTGGTGGGCATCGGAGCGCTACGTCGTTGTTAGTCTGGCACGGGGTAAGTTGCCAACTACTAAAACGGACTGTCCCCTGACATCACTCGCCGGCTTCGATATGGAAACGGCCGTCGGTGAGAGTCAACGACTTGGGACACGAAAAGAAGAGAGTAAAAGATAGGCACCTAGAGACAAGGGAGACGAAGATGCGATCTTGGAGTAGTGGTCAACGGATGAGACTGAGAGGCCTTCTAGCATACACACTGGTGATGCTAGAGTCTTCCCTTGATCTTGACATCTTCGTGTCGTCGTCGTCGATGACTTACCGCGTAGGCTGAAGCATTTGGTGGGAAGCCGAAGCCTTAGGTCGCAATTAAAGATTCGACATGAACCAACAGGCGATGAGTGATGAATATTTGGCAAGGGAGTCGTTTGTGCGGATGACATCGCCACAGCTGACACCAGACCCGGAGAGGTCATCGCCAGTAATATGGTATGGTGTTCAGTGTGCGAGCAGCTGCCAGAAGACCGAGACGGTCCGGTGTCGTGACTGACCACCTGGCCAGACATCTGCCTCACAAATGACATGTATAAGATGACCTTGATCAGGCTGCTGGTCAGGCGTATTCCGTATGGGCACCGGGCTTTCTGGCCGGTGGTGGTGATTGGTTTCGAGGAGTGCTGCGCTGAGACAGGAAGCATCCATCACCGCATCGCGCTGAGGGCAGGGGTCAGGGCGAAGTCGGGCGATGATCTAATCCTGACATCTAGGGACACCCCCCGCTCCAGTCGTGGTCGTCGTCCCTCGAGGCAGACGGAGTCACGAGGCTGGTGAAGACCTCCCTCCCTCTATTTTTGGGTGTGCCGTGGCAACAGAGGCAATCTTGAAGAGAGAAAGACGGCGTGGAATGGCAATTGACTCATCGCAAGTGAAGATGGATTGCCACAACATTCAAGCACAGTCAGCTCAGAAGAGGCTGCCCCAGAAGTCTTCTTTTTTCTTTCTTTCTTTGGCAATATCGACTGGAGATGCTGGCTAGGTGAGCAGAGTGAACGCAGGACAATAAGGAATAAGGTAGGCATATTCCAAGTGAGAGGGGAGTTGGAATTTCTTGAGATGATGTGATAATATGCCGACAGTTTGGGTGAAGGAGGTGTGTATAGCAGATGAAGTGGGGTCGATGTAGGTCGGCTGAGGAGCAATTGTGGTGTGCCTGCGAGAGTCGAGGCAGGCGGTCTTTCAGTTGGGAAAATCATTGGGCGAGGGCGCTGACTTGCTCTTGCCTGATTGGTCCTGGGAGAGACACTGCCGGAAAGAGGGAGGCGCAGAATTTCGTGTTTTCCCACCGCTTCCGCTCTTTCCCAGATGGAAAAGACAGGGATCTTGCATAAGCCATACAGGGCTAAGGACGCGCTAATGCAGGCTAAGCCAGGCGGCGGCCAATACGATTGGCTGCGTCTCTAATGCCTCAGGCTCTGTAACTCCCAATGCCAGATGGGTGTTTACGGCATCGCCCACTTTTCGTGTGCCAGCGACCATCCCACGGCAGCGACGCCCCAGCGAAGGTGCCAAAGGGCAGAGAGGGCAGGAACGGTCCCCCCAAAGGGGCCCGTGTTTGATGTGTCTGATGTTCTTCCCTCTCGCCATCCCCTTCTCACTCCTACATCACCAGAACCCGCTCCATCCATCCGCCGTCAAAGCCAGCCAGCGCCCTCCCCCGTCGTCCCCGAACGTCTCAGCGCCCAAAAACACTCGATTCTGGCTCACTGAACATAACAACACCACCGGCACGATGTACAAGTCCATAGCGGGTATCTAGATGGCTTCTACCGTCCGATCCTCCCCAATGCAAGACCCCCTAGCATAGCCAACAGACAGCACTAAACGGTTTCTCGACTCTGGTTTCCTCTCGCCCGTCCCTGACCCAGGGACTCCATCGACTCGACTCCGTCCACCTCCATACACGCCCTATTCTCTTGCCCGATTCCTCGATTCCTCGCCGAATCCACTTCCTCGGACGGTCTCAACGAGCCTTGACTCGCCATCCTGGACGACATGGACGATCCAGGGTGGTCTTGGCCCTTCTGGAAATTCGGCTTGAAGAAGGACGACCTCTTCTCCTCGCTGCACGACCAGTACAACACTTTTCCCTCCTCCATCCAAGATCCCGAGGCCTTCCACCACGACGTCTACGAGATCTCGACCGAAGCCTCCTCCTCCGATGAGTTTCACCGTCTCATGGCAGAGCGCAAGTCCCAGCGCCTGCACGAACTGAACGACCTGCTGGAGTCGGCGAGTCTTGAGATCATAGCCAACCCTGCTCTCATTGGAACTACCCAGTGGCAGCACGCTCTGCAGCTATTTAGAACCAAGTCGCTCGACTCGCTCGTTCGTTACTTTGCATCCTATCTTCCAGAGAACCACCCGTGGCATCGCGGCTCTGGCTCTGACTCTAGCAGTAGCAGTGACGGTGAATCTCTCGCCGCTTCTCATGCCTCGAGTTTCTTTGACGACATTGAAGATGAGCACTGTCTAACACAGGAACCCTTATCCATCAACACCTCGATACCTAGCCATCTAATCCCTTCTCCTCGTTCCATGACCATGCAGTCCGACTCGTCGGAGGTTTCTCCCGTCGACTGCGGCCATCACGATTATATTATTAGCACTTTGACTCCGGCGAGGACACTCTCATTCTCTGATTCCGAACACGAAGAGCACTTTAGCCAGCTGAAATGCTCAGTGTCTCTTCGTCACGACGATGACGAAGAGACGTCTCAGTCTGACGACGCCGAGACACCCGGAACATCCATTTCAGACCTTTCCGAAATTCACACTTCTCAACAGAAGGAACTTCTCATCACAGAAGACTTCGACGATACCATTCAAGATGAATACATTTCCATTACTCACACCCACGATGATACCCATACCCAATTGTTTACCGATACGATGGACTCAGAGACGCCCACACCGAAGCCAGAAGTCCCTTCCGCACCTGCAACCTCCTTCTTCGAAACGAAGTTATCATCACTTCGGCGCCGCAGTCTTTCTCCTTCACGTACTCACCCTCACCACACACCATTATCTCACCATGACTGCCGGAAGCCGCAGCGATCACAAAGAAGGAGGGAGTGCAGTCCCGATGGCGGATGGAGACGGAGGAACGCTGTGGAGCAAGGAGGAGGTAGGATACAGAAGCCTGTGGCCGGTACCTTACGGTCACGGCTTAGAGAACGGAGGCAGGCTATACGATAGCACAGGTGGATTGTTGACGAGAGGAGTAGGTTCGTGGTGGTGTTGGTGGTGGTATGGAGACCCCCTGTATATATGTCTCGATACGGCTGTACATACCCCTGTAATTCCAAGCGTGATACCACATTCTTCGTCGTTATTCTCATCCTGCCTTACAAGTGTATGGCATTGACTCGTCTCTGCTGTCGAATGTCGCAAGATTAGTGAGGCTGTCGCCAAATCGCATTCCCACCGATCCAGCCTTGTCTCACAAGCTCTCACCGCTCAGATTCCCACCACACATTTGGGCACTGGATTTCTGCTTTTTATATCACAACATGGCAGTCTCATGGTTCTTATCGTTCCGTTCCCTCATTTTTAATCTCTCCGCCCATAATGTCTAATGTTTCAGCCCTCAAGTAAGCCGACCTTCAACCTATAATACATTAATTAGGCTTATACAACGACATCCAGAGAATCTCTCAGTTTAGCTATAACATGTTGACACGATGCATCGTTTCGGCTTTCAACACATGCGTTCAATAGCCTCGCTGGACTAACATCGAGTTATCAGGTCTTGCATACTAACCCGAGAGCAGAAGGTATATCTTATCAAGCAAGTTTGTACTGGTAAGGTAAGTGAGACCGATGGCGAAGCTACGCCAAGTTCTCATGATCACACGCTGTGATTCACGAGTTCGCACCACTCTGTTTTGCTACGTAATTCCTTCATTGTGGTTGGAGTCTGCAGTCTGCGTGAAGTTTCTGCCGGTTCTGGGACATAGGTTACACCTTCAGGTTATTCTCTCTTATCATTCTCTACACATTCTGCAGCAAACACTAGAACCCAAATATCAAGCCCTTGACAAAGCCTTACACCTCATCATCTGCATGCTCATGCTTGCCCATCGGGATCTCGGTTGCCACAGTGCCCCTGATCCGTCGACTCACGTAGTTGGTCATGAATTGGTCAATGTTGCTAGTAAATAGAGAGGCGATTACTGCGAGGGCACCGAACGCAATCGAGACTAGATAGACCGTGTTGAAGCTCGCTGAGTAGGCTGATTTGACCGCATTGGCAACGGCTACTTCGATTGAGGGGTTGATCCCAGGTACTGCGTCCATAGCGGCAGATGTCCCGTTGGTGATGGCCTCGAAGACCAGTGGCACCGAGCTCTCGGGTAGTCCGGCGTGCAGAGCGGCTGACGTGACCTTGCTAGGGATGTTGGCAGCGAGGCGCTGTTCCAGGATGGCTACGTAGATACTAACTACACGAGAATCTTAGTACTTGAGACTTTCAAAGGAGTGGTAGAGGCTCACTAGACACTGTACCGGCCGTGTTCTTGACGGAACCTAGGAATCCGTTCGCGAGACCTAAGTCTGCCGGCAGATTGACAAGACCATTCGCGACGAGACAGACAAGTTCGAGCCATCCAGTAAAGTAGCCAGCCAAAACCGTAAACTAAGCTACGTTAGAGAATTGCAAAGGTTTCTCAAAATTGAATGCTTACTGCGAGAGCCATTCCTTGTGTGCTTTGGCTTGTAGCGGCCATCGCCCCGAGAAAAGCTGTCAGGCAAACCGAGGAGAAGATGAGCTGCCACTTGGCATGTCCGACAGCTTTCAGGAGCGGTCCCATGATGATTTCACCAATAGCCAACGCCAATCCGGAAGTACACTACGGTCTTGTCAGCCTTCTCCTGATGCCCCATATAGAGATGGTATCCCCTGCTATGCTAGCACTCACCGACATCCATCCGATCTTTACATTATCAGTTGTGTATAACGCGGCAATCTGCTGTGGCCAGAGTATGGACAATGCAACGAAGACCATCTGACCAACGGATCCTGCGATGGTAATGGCAATGTAATTCCTGTTCTTGAGGATCCTAATCGGCAGGAGCGGCTGCTTGAGGGGCATGTAGACTTCATAAAATCCAAAGGCAATCAAGAGCACACAGCCGAGGGTCAAGGTCGTCAAGACATGTGCACTTGTCCAGGAGTACGCAGCGCCACCCCATGCTCGAAGGCTATTAGTCGGTTGTCTACAAAATATGAAAGCGGATGTACACATACCAAGAGCCAAGAGGATAAGAAGCTGTCCGGCGCCATACAGAATGACACCGCCATAGTCGATGTTCATCAACTCCTTTTGCCATGTGAGGTTAGAATGGAGTTGATGTAAGTTCGGGGGAAAGTAGCAGAACAGCATCAGTAAAAGTGATGCTCCACAGAAGATGGCGTTCATCCAGTATACCCAACTAGCCAAAGGTCAGCATTTCCCTTACCCAGATGAAACGACATATGATGCAAAACATACCGCCATCCCAGTGTTGTGTTCTCGATCAAAGTCCGCGCTATCACAGGTCCAAATCCAGCAAAAGGCAATACACCAACTATCATAGCAGCTTGAGCGTGACCTCTATGCTTATTTGGCACAAGCTCTTGGATCACATAAGGGAAAGTCAACTGAGCAGTAGCTGCGAAACCTTGCAGAACTGATCCAGCTATCAACATGTTGATAGAGCTTGCCTTCGCTGAAACGACCGACGAGATGACACCAAGTAGTTGACCCCCGATGAGAAAATATCTTCGGCCAATGATATCACCTAGGCGTCCCACAAGGAGCAGACATACTCCGGTGACTAAAGACCCTGCAGTCGTGATGAAGATGTAAATTGGTGAAGGGCCGAGATCTTGGTTGATGACTTGGAGACAACTAGCCTAATCAAGATACCCTTTGTTAGCCTTTTGGTCATAAGAAAGTGCGTGTAAACATGACTGATGTCGAAGGGCATACCGGAAGTGAGAAGCCGACATAAAGACAAACTGCCAACAAGATAATGCTGATAGCTGAGCCAAGGAATCTGAAGGACCACCAGTATTGCGGCGGAATATCCTCGAGATCAACTCCCCTAGCATCAGGGGCCTCCACATCAAGTTCCGAGTCTGTGGGAGGAGCAACATTGACGTGGTTCGCTGTTGGCTTTTCCTCCTCTCGATTGTTTTCGTGAACCGAAGTCATCTTGAGACGATTTAAAGCAGCAATTCAAGACGTGTCAAGAAACAAATTCAGCAACTCGTGATGTACAATGCACCAATGGCCCTAGACTAATGATATATAATGCCAAGGAGAAAGGTTACCGGGCGCTAGATCAAGTGTACGCGGCACGACACATGGTTCCTATCAATAGTTAGGGGCTGTTACAGGGGCGTCGCCTTCCTTGTGTCCGGGTTCTTCGGATTACTCCACCACATTGGAAAGCCAATGCAAATGAGATGTATGTGACCAAGGAGTCGGTGATACCAACAATGTCTGAATGAGACAAGACTAACAAGAAAGCTTGATACCCTAGTCAAACCCCACCCCCACATCTGGCGGTTGACTAGTCTCCTTCCCCGGATTCCTAGCCCCATCCTACGCAATTTGCGTGAGTCGGAAAAGCTTAAGCGTTTGTGGTGTGGTGCCTACTGATTCATCAGTGTCAAGTCTGCATGGATAGTTCTAAGACACGGCGTCACTCGCAGCAGAGCTAAGAAGCTATTCGAGATCCATGTCAATATTACTCCAATCAACCGGATCAAGCACCATGTATGGAATTGGAATACACTTTGCTTAAAAATGGACATATTCGTAGGAGCCCATATATGTGAGTCACTTGAATAGCACACACTTTTCAGCAGACGTCCAGGTATTGCAGAGCGTTCTGTGGTGTTGACAGACAAGATGCCTCCTCCCAGGCGCTCCGCAATCAAGTTGTATCTCCTCTACCTCTGGGCAGTCTCCCAGGTAGTTCTGGGTACGGACCAGCCCATCTTTGAAGAACAGCCTATCTATCAAGCCGTTCTAGGAACCGGAGACGGCATCGGGGAATGTTCGGACGACCTTCTCATAACAACATCTCTATTCACTGTGCAGGGCGCTGTATCACCGGAAACAGACGATGTACGTCAGTTTCTTGGTATACCATTTGCAGAAGCTCCTCTCGGCGACTTACGTTTCAGGCCGCCTGTTACCAAGAAGGCCACCGATGATATTATAGATGCGACAAAGTACGGTCCATGTTGTTATCAGCATAACCCGGTGACCTCAGTCTACTTCTCGGATAACCTGTCCGGTTTTCAGATTTTGAAAGATCAGATCCAGTCTGAAGATTGTTTGACGTTGGACATATGGGCACCTCGCCAAAAGTGTGCAAATGAGAGTTCTGGGACCATTCATGTCGGCAGAGCTGCCGTTATGATCTGGATACACGGAGGTGCATTGATGAATGGTGATAGTTCAGCTCCGTACACGCGTGGAACAAGGCTTGTGCAAAATCACGAAGACATCATCGTCGTATCTATAAAGTACGTTATTTTGTCTTTGCAATCGTTCAACAAGGCTGACATTACAACACTCGCCATAGCTACCGTGTAAACATATTCGGCTTCCCTCGTGCCGAGGCTCTTAATGGCCATAATCTTAATCCAGGCTTTCTCGATGTCCGAAAAGGTGTCGAATGGGTATATCAGAACATACATGCCTTCGGAGGTAACCCTAATCAAATGATTCTATTTGGTGATTCTGCAGGCAGCAGCTGCGTGGATAAATATATCTACGCATGGCCTCATGATCCCTTGGTGAAGGGTTTCATCATGCAGTCTGGCCAAGGCGAAATATCAGGGGACCCGAACGACCACTCCAATTTTACCTATATTGCGGACAAGCTTGGATGTAGCGGTGACAAGGACGAAATGTTCCGTTGCATGCAGCAGGCAAATGCAGACGACATCATCCAGATACTAAATACTTACAACGCCACGGCCAACGGAGGAAAGGTTCTCAATTTCCAGCCTCAAGCAGACAACGAGACGAGCTTTTCCAACTACACCGATTTACAGGCTCGCGGACTTTACTCTTATCTTCCTCAGATCATCGGAAATTGTGACAATGAATTTGCATCGTTATATCAGCCTTTCACAGGGGAGGCTCCCGATCAAGAGGTACTGGACAGGCTATCTGATGGCATGTTCATTTGCCCTGCGGCGAAAGCTGCTAAGTAAGCAAACTCCCAAGACTGAAACAGCGGATCATATACATTCACTGTGATATCCGTATTTGACTTGACAGGCTTACCATGCTGAATTACATTTAGGGCTCGACGAGATACACAGACACCAATCTGGAGATATCGCTATTTTGGGGAGTTTCCAAACCAAAATTTCCTTCCATGGCTTCACGCCTACCACGGAAGTATGTTCCCGGTCTTCATCGCTTTTTTTTCCCATTCTTGCTACTATTCTCTATATCAAGTCTTAACTATGCCTTTAGGTGACGTTCCAATGGTATTTGGTACCACGGACGGCAATGGCCCCGATACACCTGAGCAGATAGCTCTCAGCACGTACTTGCAATCAGTCTGGGTAGCATTTACAAAAGATCCCCAACATGCCTTGACCGAAAAGTTTGATTGGCCACTGTATCGTGAAGAAGAAGAAACTTTGATCCGCTTAGGACGGGGTGAGCGATCTGAGCCTGACTTTGTAAAGGGAAATACGTATGATGGGGCTTGCAGCCGGATCACTGCTCCTTTGCAGTATTCCTAACTCATATATCAGTAAAGGTGCGGTTGGTAGATGCTGGTGACGAACAGATTTAATGTTTGGCAAGATTAAAGCTTCAAGTATAGCATGATCAGCCGAGCCCCAGGACTGGCGATGAGTTTAAGAGGCCTTTGAAAGAGCAGGGCTCCTGGGCTCGTAGCTGAATCCCATGCATACAGGCCAAATGGGACCCACTCGGGAGCTCGCTACCACTGCATCCATGCATCAGTAAGGCATCAGACTTATATCACGATCGGGAAAGAAATCCAGCTTGGCGAGTCCAGGCGAAGTATGCAATGCCCCATGAAGAAGCCAGAGCTCAGGTCAGCAAGCCGCTCCACGCGCAATCAAGTTGTAAAGTAACTGGAACTATATTTAATAAGACATCTCTTGACCTGTAGTGCTAGCTTTGGTCTGCAGTCATTAGCATTTCAGAAAGAAAACGCATGTGGCCGCTCAGGGGTACACGTGTTGTATCATGTGACCCTGCTGCCTAGCGTGTGCTGTGCCTAACGCGCGACATGATACGGGCAATCGATGGGCGTGAGGTGAATGTGGGAGATCTCGTAATTCTTCATTTCACGCCCTATTCACCTTTTTCCTTTTCAAGCGAAGGAGCGGATAGTGGTGACGACAGAAGCAGCGCTGTCCGTCCGCCCGTTTGGTTGTACAGATCACATCTGCCGGCATACACTGGAGACGCCGTTCTCACGGACGCGGGGCGCGTCGCTGCATGCCGTAGACGCTCGGTACTCCATGCACCGTCAACTACCTGAGAAGTCTTTTACTAGACAAGCCCCGGAGACAACGGAGACTTTTGCGCCGGTGGCGAATCTCTTGAAGCATTATTATTACAACGTCTTTTAACCGCAAGCACGGCGTAGTCAGTGGGAACATAGCGCAGGCGTCTCCAGTGCCATCAGAACTCAGCAGGGTGCCACCAAGTTGCAATAGGAGCTTGAACGTGTAAGTGGGTTGAAGCTTATGCCTCCACATGGCCCTTGTTGGATCGTGCTACCGTGACGCTGGAGATCAGAAACGAGCGCACTGCAGCAGGTGACAAGCACGGCATTCGTGCAACAGGCTCGTCTCACTCTTAGTCTGGGGTACCTACAAGCGAGTAACAATCATCAATCTGGTGCTTCGGCTCTACGCGGCTTTCAACCCCAGCTAGACAGGAACTCTGCTCACGCAAGTGTCAAAATACTGCAACCAAACGCCCTTCCGGCCCCTTCGACTCTAGTTGCGATGGTGGGATCATCTCATCCAACATGGCACCCGCTGCCGGTGTCTCATAAGGGCATACCATCACTTCTTGTTTCGACGTCATTCACTCCTACACCTGCATCGTATACCGTGCATATCACTGACCTGGCTAATATATGGGTCGAAGACTTGGACCGTCGAGGCATCATTCGACGATCCCTAGATGAGAACACGACGATTGACCCAAGTGAGGATGCGGACAACATGCGTGCCTTTTTGGACAAGCTTCAAGCCGCATTTCAGCAGGATCATGACGATCATGACAGCACTTCACTCAGTTTATCCATTTCGGACAAGGAGGACGCTGGTCTCTTGATACGGATTACGTGCATTCTGCCCGGCAACTTGAAACCGTTGAAATGGCCTCTGCACCTGAAAAGGTGCCTTCCTTCAAGCGTCGCCACAGAGCTCGTGTTACCTCTTATCCAGGCGCAGCAGACCAGGGCACGGGAAGTGGATGCATTGAAGGATGCGCTGCGAGACAAGGACACAGTCATTACGAAGCTTGTTGATAAGCTCGAGGCTTCAGGCACTGGACTGGAGCATGTTTTCAATAGCCTGTCTGGACGGCGGAAGGTCACAAGATCTCTGGCTGAGGATCGCGTGAAAGGACTAGCCCCATTCAAAGAGACCGATTTCAGAGCTTCATTTGGAAGAGAAGACGCCGAAGCCCGGGATGGAACTCTTACAGACTTGATTCAAACTGTCTTTGGCGGTGCAGGTTTGCGCTACCGCACTGATGTTGACTTCTGCGACTCCCCTCAGCTCAACGATTGGTGGACGAAGCTTGGAACGGGCCCTAAAGACTCTGTTCCCCTTATTGGGAAGAAGAAAGACGTCGCAAAGAAGGCAATCACGCCGCCACCACCATCGAAGCCAGTAGATGATGACGACGAGTTCCAGGTCCAGTCAACGCCCCCACATCTCATGTCTGCCAAAAAGAAAAGTCCTACGCCACGTCCAAATGTGCCTGGGGATGATGACACAACGGATGATGATGATACATCTCAGATACCAGACAGCAACCCACCGCCTAGAACATCTCAAGCTGCGCAAGCCCCTTCAAGTAAACCGTCTCGTCTTGGAACCATAAGAGGGAAGCGAAAGCCCGAAACACCCCCTGAGCCTCCCGCTCCATCCAGCCCAGTGACACATGCTCACGGAGACAACGACGATGATGTCACGGCATCTGAGACTGATGATGAGCTCGACGTACCTCCACCTGCTCCGAAGCCTACTGGGCAGGTGAGGAAAGGGGGTTTAGGACGTATCGGCGGTAAACCCAAAGCCGAAACGGCGGCTCCTGTGATATCTGCATCACCACAAGTGGAGGATAGCACTCAGCCCTTGAAGCCAACGAAAGGGAAGCTCGGGCATATTGGAAAGAAAGCTGCCTTGGCTGAAAGACCACAGTCCCATGCCGACAGCGGTGATGATGACCGGGGGCGGCCATCGACTAAGGCAGAAATCGTGGAAGAGAAACCACGGGAAACATCAGAAGAGCGAGCAGATCGGAAGCGCACGGAGCTGCAGAAGGAACTTGAACGTAAAGCTGCTGCTGGGCCGGCAAAGAAGAAAAGGAAGTTTTAGAATTTTCACCTGCAACATGATGTTGGGCCAAGTTAACAGCCAATTTTGACATGTTATCCAACATTAATACATCTATATTACTTATAACGGCTATCTACGCGCCTAGCTCTTAGTTGAATCCCAGCCATGTGGATGTACATGTCACATCGAGCGTTGACTGGTCCATATTCAAGCAGTATGCTTCGTGCGTGCCATTGGGGCTCAGCACGTTGATAGTGCTGGCCGTGATATCGCCACATACGGTGTCGCTGGAGCAAGCAAATGCACCGATTTGCGGTTGGTACTTGGTGCTGGTCTTACCAGTGAAGTCTTTGAACACAATGTTGCTGATGGTCAGTGGTGACGGATACTCTTGGCAGAGTGTAAGGTTCTTCTGGCCGTAGCACTGGGTGATCTCAATGGCATAGTCCACGTTGTCGATGACCATGCCGTCATATGTGATGTTGTTGACACGCCCGGAGCCTCCTCCGCCCTGTAGGTCGCCAGACATGGCCGAAGGTGTGTTGGGCCACACCTTGATGCGTGCTCCGTCCGTGGCATTGTGCATGCTAATGTTGGCAACGTACACATCCTCAACAATGTCGAACTCCCCAACGTACTGGCCTAGCGAACCGACGGAGATGCCGTGCGAGCCGTTGCAAAACAGCGACTGGACCAGGATGTCGGTGCTGTTGGGCTTGAAGGAGACACAGTCTGAGCAAGTGTTAGTAGGCTGCTACCTTATATCTAAGCGAGCTATAGCTCGGCCATGTGGGTCGTCCATGCGACTTGACGGATTTGCTACGGCTAGGAGGGACGACTCACCATCGCCATTGTTGATAACGCTGTTCATAATGGTGACATCTTTACTGCGGTACGTGTCCCAGCCGTCGGTGTTCTTCGCGAGGTTCTTGCTCGTACTTCCACCGGCTATGTCTATGTTGTTGAACACAACATTGGTTGCATTGGCGACGAAGTGATAGTACTGTGGGCTATAACGCAGCACCAGATCTGATAGGATACTGTCACGTAGTCCATCGATGCCGACGAGCACAGGCCTAAGCGTGTAAATGTCTGCCGCATACGTGTCGTACCACAGCTGTCCATTACCGTCGAGTGTGCCACCTAATTGCGTTAGCTTCTCATGGTCATAAGGAGGTAGCTGTCAATGGTGGGCGACTCAAAAGTCTACGGCGTGACACGAAAGATGATGGTGCAAGGGAGTGTGCCGGCAAAGGAGAATAGGGATTTTACGGGTGCCGGGTTTCGCACAACTTGCACACGAGGGAAGAAATTACGGCTTGACTTCAGGGCAAAGTAGGACATATGCTACCACAACCACAAGGAAGAGGAGATATCGCCGACTACACAAAGCGGCACGCTCATCGCATGTAACAAGAGTCGCTCAAGGCAGGTGCCTACGGCCGAGACCGATTTCAGGGGTATCGGAGATGATCGTGATGCAAGAACTCACCTCCATAGATGAACACGTCCTCTCCACCGAGCTTGAAGAACGTAGTGACGTTCTGGAAGATGAACCTGAACGAGTTGGCCTGCCAGTAGTCTGTATCATTGGTGAACAGGATGCGGCCCTGAATGTCTGTGTACAGCAATGATTAGCGGTTGGTCTTGTCAATGGCCAGCCCTTTGCCGTGTCAGCCATGTGCCTGGCCGAAGCATGGATGCATGTGGTTGGCGTCATACCAATGTCAATATGCTTTAGGAACGTCCAGTCCATCGCTGTACCGATGATGTAGGTTTCATCTTTGCTGAACACTACATGGCCTCCATCATTGCACTCATGGAAGGCGAATAGAATGTAAGGAGAGTCGTCTGTAACCCCATCGCCATGTGTTTCCACGAAGCACCATTTCGTCCTCTTTGGAGGGTCAGGAATGGGCACTCTAGGGTTGTAAGGAGACGGCGTAATGTGTGGTCGTCGTGAGACACAGCCTGCGGCGACTGCGACTGTGGCCAAAGCCAGATTGACGAGGATTGCCAATGACTTCATTGTCGATGTTTCCAACTTGCCGAGTATGAAGGTCGGAAGATAGCAATTTGACTTCCTCTGTTGCTTGGTGTTGACGACGCGGACAGCTCAGTCAATGCAGCACCAATGACAGGAATCGCGAGCATCAAGCTGGAGCGCGCTGACGACCCCATGGCAGCAGCTACGTCTATTTATCCAAAGCTGTATGTTATCTCTCCCCAGCTCTTCATCGCGCGTGGGGATTGAATTTCTCCGCATTTCTCCACTCGCGAACTGAAGGAGTGCGTGTCGTGGAAACCATCTTGGGAGCGAGGAGCCGGGAAGCCGCTTTAGATCACAACTAAGTCCCAAACCATTGGAAGTCCTAGGGCCGATTGATCCGAGCATTTAAGCTTCGTGCCATTGCTTCAGCGCTCTAAGCCAATCTCTTGGCTCCATGCGGCTCTGATTCGTGGCAACAGTTCAATCTCTTGACCCAGGATGACAGTTCTAGAGCGACCAGCTACCTCATCATCCCCGGGAATTAGCTGGGGTTTTGCTCTCATAGCGAGGTCTAAAATGAGTCTAGCACCATCATCTGGGGGTTGACATGCGGGGAGACACTATTAATTGGTGGAATCGACCCCTGAATTTCTTCCGGGCCGTTGCCCATCCCCACCAAGAGCTTCGAGCTTCAATACTAGCTCCAATTGTGCCCGCATTTCTCCAACTTCGGTTGAGGATGATGACCAGTAGTGGCCTCGAGGGTACGCACTTGAGCTCGACCTCTTTGAAGTTACCGGTATGGAACCAGCTCTGAGTCGTGATAGCATTTCTGTGCTTCCTTACCTTACGCAGAATGGCTAAGGTCATTTCATCTTTGTTACCATTCAAATCATGAAATCCCCGGTGCGATCCATGTCAACCCGGTACATGTGCTTGAGTTGTGAGGATCCAGATTACGATGACACCAGTTGTGGCTCGTTTCTACGTCAACCTTATGCATTGAGTATCGTTTGAATGACTACCCCAATCCCCAGGCTTCTAGCGTAGCATTACTAGATTTTGGAATCGAGGAGATCTTCCAAGATCACGCGGACTACTTGGCGATGGCGTCTATCGCGTCTACTCGCCTCATCCAGTAGCATTTCAGCCATCACAACCCTCTCTCCCTCCGGAGAATCGTGCATATTGTCAAGCAGCTCTTTGTAGCAACTTCTGCCGAGCGAAGAACACCGGCTCTCGGTCGACCAGACTTACAAACAAGTTTTTGTTTGACAATTCTTCGAACTGCAGCACTGCTAAGGCTAGCTAGAAAAGGACCATACCATCTCCTCTCGGCGTAGACCCCAACAACGCAACATGCATACTATTGAAGCGTCTTGCTGGAAACGCTCTGCTAGTGATCAGTCATACGCATTAACTTGATAATGGGCTGTCAGAAACCAGATCGCCACTCAGGCTCGGGTTTTTCGAGCGGGACGCCACAGGAAATGGGCGATGGGCAATATCAGCTGAAGGCATGCGTGGTACTACTGTAGTGGGGAATTGACAACGTTTGGTATCTTCAATGGGCGATGTACAGGCTTAGCCTACACTCGCCGCTTCTGGAAGAAAACTTCGGCCTTTGCTGAGGGTATCAGACAGAGTGTTCCCAGCCCCCTCACAACAAATCTAGACTATTTGACATGTGCCGGCGCAAGACCTCCTCAAATGCAAAAGTGTGCCAATGCAGATCGGCTTCAACAGGGGTGGTATGCTATACACAACAAGCGTCTCGCCCGCAATATCACAGGTCACCGTCACCTGCAATCTCGCCATTTGGGCCTCTCAAACTGGCCCAGTCCTCATCATTGGCCAATCGGCTAGGGTTCAGCTTCCCGGGTCCGGGCCGGGCTTGTCACATTGTGAAAGCGGTTCTCGCCGGAACATTTGCCATTCGTGCTCACTCTGGGCACACTCACTGATTGCAGCAACTGCGATCGTAAACTCAATCATGCGCAATACTAGCCGTGGTACTGTAATGAAGGATATACGAGTGAACGTATGATTACTGTTGGAACAAGAGCGCAATTAATGGAAATGGGTCCCACGAACCGGGTTCTGATATCTTGCATGAAATAAAATGGAAGGATATATCTAGATAAGCTTCCTGCGTGAACTAGGCGCAACTCCACGTACCCGGTCAGAAGACAGTGAGTGAAGCCTGCTAGTTTGTGACTGGTTTGAGAATGCTTCAGATGGCTTGCATGAGGTAGCAGTATGGTAAATGGCTGGTTGGATTGGGCTTGAGCAGTGCTTCATCCGGTCACACAAGAGTCCTTTTGTTGGTTGTCTGAGATTGGCGAATCTTCCACACCCCGTGGGGGCTTCTCTTTCCAGTTCCGTGCTACTGCATGCAGATTAGTGAACCCCAGCCACGTCTAACGAATTGAGGATTTGCAAGCTGAAGATGGACACGATCGAGTCTAGACGTGCGCCTCTCGTCCCTTCCGTTCACGGTGATGCGATAGGAAGGGGCTGCCGTTGTACATTAGCGGTCTCTTTCCCGCTTGCCCCGGGTTCGTACGACATCATTAGTACACTTATTCATCTTTATATTACATGTTTCAAGCCTCCAGATCTGCAATGGCAAAGCCCCTTCGCTGTTGATAGGTGGCACTAAAGAAATCCGACAGCTGCCAAAACTGCAGCCATCACCAGGAGCCTGTCCACGTTTCAACAGGTTATCCGGACCGCTACATGGCTTCGAGGGATGCAGAATCGGCAAGCGTGTGTTCGAAGGGCGATCTACAGATCGGCGCAAAATGGCGTAAACCAATCATGACACGTGGCCGTGGTCTCACGGAGAGATGGCAGTATTGTGTACCATGGGGAGGCACATTGTTGCGAAGCACAATGCCCTTGTCAATGCTACTCGTCACTTCGATATTCTCACCCCTCCTTGCCTTCTAGTTGGTTTCAATGAACAACACAGGTGGCGTGAGCCGTTGCGCTACGATACTTTCAACGACGATGCTAATCTCTGACCGGTTGAACAAGGCTCTGTGTTGCTTCGGGCAAACGCAGCGCCGATTCTGAAATAGCCACGATCACTCAGTGTGTACCAATGTATTTGAAAACGACTGGATACTTGTCTACCAGTCATGAACCTTTCATTGAACCCTCCTATGCGCCGGGATATCATGTGCTCGACTTAGACGGCAGCTAAAAAGTGACAGGTCACACAACAGCCATGGCTTCCAACTTGGTTCCTACCATGTCGTCTTGTTCGCATGTCTCACTCGACGCCTTGGCAGTGAGATGGCCTTTGGTTGTGTGCGAAAACCCCTGTGAGGAGCTTGATATATCACCAACGAGCGATTACAGCTTAGCATAGAACCTGATCTCCACATCTGCTTTGAATTGGAGAATGCAGGAGGTCGCAAACGGGATCATGTTTTAGAACTTTGGGACCTGGATTCATGGCGATGGTCTGGCAAATATCGTCACAGTAGTTGAAGGCAATCATTCATACCAAATAATATATTTTTACACCTGCTTAATCAGGCATTAGTAGTAGTTGGAGTCTATCAAGGACGAAGTCTCAGCATGATCGCGCCTCACAACCCAGACCATTTCCCTCATCCTTATTAGCCTATTGTTCTATGTCCTATGCCGCAGCCCACACGGTGCTTCCAGACGTCCTTGCACGAGCAGCTGTCTACTCTTGGCTTGTAGACCATAAGAGGGATGAGAGGACTGGTAATGCTAGATGCTCAGGAACGAATCAGGGAGTCGTGATGATTGTGGCGCGAGGCATCAGCGCGCCACCAACATGAAAGGGGGGGCCGATGACCAACAAACCAATAGAAGAAAAGAAAGGCGTGTCTGGTAAGAAATAGCCGTCATGAAAATCAATAAAAATACCAGATGCTATGTTAACCCGCTCGCTAAAATTCGACAATGCTTGGATGATAACTTAGACTTGCCATTCTCCGAGTTTGGACAAGGTTATGCAGATGGTGGTAGAAACCGTGAAAGCAGACAAAAACCTGATAGGAGCAGGAGGTGGTAGCGTCCTGGTCTCTCCCGATAAAGGTAACTTTCCGCACTCCTGTCACTTGACAAGTGCGCATGTAATGTCGAAATAGAGAAGACCAAACTCCCACCAGCCCCAAATCCTTTAAAACCAAGACTGCTGGTAGACACGAGACATGTCGGTTCGGGATGCCCGATACTGTTCATTAGATACATTCATTCGTAAGTTTCAAGCCACGTTTGGCAAGCTGCGCCGGTCAAGATGCCTGTAGCGGCCTTAATGGTCGTTACCCTTGAGGTTGAGGATCTTCAAGCCATCTCTATCATACCCCGCCGAAGGCTGCATCAAGCATGGCCATGTCATTCGCTCAAGCTACGCCATAGCTAATCCGACTCTCTTAAGGCCATTGGCGTAGAAGATGCCTAGGAAAGCAGACGTGCGAGAGTAGAAAAAGAGACCGGTAGCCATCTCAAACAGACAGATTGGCTCAAACCCACATGCAGGCGGAGGCTCTAAGCAAGCAAGTCGAAGCCGGGAAGAGAGATCCGTGCGCAAGCTGAATGTAGGTGTGTGCTGGTGTGCATGCCCCTCGACACCCTCCCACGCACGATCTGCAAGACGAGGGGACCAACAACCGGGTTGTCGTAACCTTGGCACCCAACGTCAATAAAAACCTTTTCGATTGTCGAGGAAGATCGCTGACAATCGATCTCGACCATTGTAGTCTTGAAGGTAAGGAGCCATCTGCTTGCCGTTCGCCTGGAGACGAGGCTTACTATCGCCCTCTCAAGGGTGCTTGATAAAAGCCAGATGCCATATTGAGCATTCGAGGCAGCAGAAAACGCCACATCATGCCACAGCCTCCATGTATGCTTTCTTTTTTTGTTTTTTTCCCCTTCTCCATTTCCCTGTCGTTCTCGTGTCATTTTCCTTTCTCAGCGCTGCTGAGTCGCCTATCCTTGCTGCTCCTGGGTAGACCTCCGCATGGCGTTTTGCAACACACTTCTTTCCAGCCCTGGTCCATGCTGGCGCAGACAAACGGTGCGTCGTTGAGGCTGTTAGAAAACGATGGCAGCGGCACATGGATCCCGGACTGAGATTCAACTCCTCTCGTTAACTCGTACGAGCGTGGACAACTCCCCTAATTCATCAAGACGTACGTGCACATCTCTCAACCCCAGTGCAGAGCGAGGCAGAGCGGCGTAAAAGCTTTGAAACCAGACTTGTCACCATGTATTGGTGGGCAGTGGTGGCTTTCTGGACCAATCTCCTTGACCGTTTTCAGCGCCCGTGGCGTTCTGGGCGTAACGTTGGTTCGAAACACCTAATGGCTCTGCGCGGCTTCTGCAGGTGGACACCTAGAAGTTGATTTCACTACTTCCCATATCCGAGTTGGTCCAGGCGCAGGTGGAGTTGGGGTACTCGGACAGCAGATGAAGACTCTCTGGGACCTCATCCGGGTCTATGAAGAGAGGGGGGATCCTGCTGGTTGACGAGGGTGAACCAGGGTACATACCGGTCACATCGTCGTATGTGTAAGCTGAATGCACCAGACCATGCCGGGGTGGCTCGTATGCGTAGCTGGTTGCGCTGCCATGTAGAACCAACAGATCTTCAGCCTCCGGGGTAATGGGCTCGTCCTCACTCTTCACAGTCGGCGGATTGCGGATTGCGCGCCCATCCAGGCCACTGAAGGCAATGTGCTCAAGGCTTCTGTGCGCGGTGTCTCCGGCCGCGGCGCTGAGATTTGTGTACCTATTCTGGTCCAACGATACGGGGAATGTCCCAAATGCGCCACCGCCTTCGATTAGATTGACATCCAACCCGGCAGGGACAGATGTTGAGGACCGTTGGGCTTCTTGCATCATCTGTCTCCTACGATGTGACTCCTTTGTGCGGCTTGCGACCACGCCTCCCTGACGTCCTGCCGATCGCCGGGCACTATTGGCAAGAGAGGTCTGTCTTCCCGGCCCGACTCGTCGTGATGAATTCCCTTTGCGATATCGCGTCGTGCTCTGCACCCCACTGTCGACGGCCCAGTCTGTCAGGAACCATTCACTCGATTTCTTACTATCCCCTGATGCGGGAGCATGGACTGCTTGCTCGCCTTCCATGCTTCCGTCAAACTTCTTATCTTGCTTCTGAAAAGCCTGCTCAATGTCAGCTAGGTAAATTGGCGTTGTTAGTAGACCTGCCGCCGGGATATTTGACAGCAAGCCTCCTCTTCAGTCCGCACCAGCGCACAAAGGAAGCCACCTACCCGGTTCATGCTGAGATTATGCCTGATGCTATTTTGCCAACCTTTGCCTGGGCTCTTTGCTTTGTCCGTATTCTCGCGAAACCATTGGTATATTTCTTGCAAAGTCATGGCGTGGCGCGGATGGCTCATGAATGCCTTGTAGATCAACTGGGCGTACGGCTCCGGTTCCTTGCTTCCAGCTCTGGCAGGCTCAGATGCTGCGGCTGGGCATGCGTTATCAGGATTGATATCCTGGTCGTCCCCATATTCAGATAGTGGAGTTGAGTTGTCTCTGCTCAATGGATTATCGTCGGGTATCAGGCTTGTGCTTCCAGGCGAGAGCGACAGAGCAGACGGAAGGCCATCGCACAATGGAGGCATGTAGTTCGGATGGCTCGTAGAAGATCTATATCCACTGTCGTGAAGACCGAGTGCTTGAGAGTCCACCATGGCGCTGGCTGGAGGAAAGCGAAGATCCTCGAGCGCAACGCTCAAGGGCCGCCTGTAGTGTTTATATTCTTGCGCTAGTTCCGGTGATTGCATCCAGGGAGTCCCTTGAAAACTCTCTGCTGGAGACCAAATTTGTCGCGAGGCGTATTGGGTCGTGCCGCTGTTAAGAACAGGACTTGATGCGCATGGCCTTGAAGATGCTCGTGAGGAGCAGCTCTCGAAGTCGTCCGGAACGTCTGTAGAGACCGCCCAGATGGATGCTCGCTGATGCGGAGACGAAAATGATTGAAATGATTCAGAAGGATGATGAGTAGACATATGGTTTGCATTTTGCAACATCAACCCGCGTTGTGAGTGATGACGACTGTGTGTGCCATCGGCTGTTTCGCGTATCGACTGCTGCAGAAAAAAAGGCTGAAACAGGTCTTCATGGTTCTCATATCCAGTCACAAGAGGGGCTCCCTGAGTGCCATCCGGAAAACAACCAGGGTTTGATGACATGATAGCAGGTAATCCATCTGGATAGTCTGACTCCATTGCTAGGAGCTAGATACCCTATGACAAGGAGATAGCTTGTGTCTAATCAGCGCAACGATATTTGTCTGGGTTATGAATTACTTGATGCTAGGACTATGGGCACGAGTAGCAAAGTGTGGGTAAGGAGAAGGGGCAGATAGCGGGCTATGCAACGATGGGTGAATTTGAAGATGATATGATCAGGCTGTTCTAAGCAGGCGAAAGAGCAAAGATGATGTTAATGATGACTGAGGAATATTCGCGATGTAAGGTATCAAATTCTCATGTTGGTTCATTAAGAAGGGGGATTGCAATAGACTATTATGCATGAGTTGGGCCATTTAGAATACCGAAAGGGAGCATTGCCATTAGCCTGGGCCAGACCTCTGATATGTTTGCCGACTTCAAACCCTTGGAAGTATAGGAGCTTCAATTGGGAGTGGCGCGCCTAGCAAACCCCAGCTTCCGAAGGGAAGAGACAAGGGAGACGAGTGAGGTGTGTATCTAGACCGGACGGGGCAGGGTGGCCATAAGCAACTGTGAAGCCAAGTAGTACACAAGCAATGAGCTTGCTGGCAGGCCGGCTTGGCCAGCTCTGTCCAATATGTGCCGACTGAGCAGCGGGCGTACTTGAGTACCCGACCTCCTCCGTCATGAAGTAAGTCGCATACGTGTGTGTGAGTGTGGTATGTGCCTACCGTGCTTGTGTAAGGCCGGCGGTGATGTAACTAAAAGTGGGCATGCAAACGGGGCCTTGTGGCCCTCCTCGCAGTGCTTGCTGTGGTATGAGCTGCACTGCAAAAGGACTTGTCATTTTGGACGGTACGGGGCTGTTCATATGAGAGATCTGTGTCTGGAGACAGGGGTTCTAAGGCCGTCACATTCAACGTGGTCTATGGAGCTTCCCAGATACTACTCGCGTCTAAGGAGCAAATAGAAGATTCAAATCTGAGTCATGGGCTCCGGTACAGTGCCATAAGGGGAGCACGTGGAGATCAACACCAGTGTACACCTTCGGCGTACAGTGTCCCGGATTGACTTGGGCAAAGCCCTATCAAGGCCCTACGGCCCCCGGGTACAGCTTTGTCCTCTTGTTCCCGGAATGGACAAGGTTAACGTGCTAAATGCAAGTCATCGCTTGTCATAAGTAGTTGAGCTAAGAGCAAATGACGAAGACAAGGGCCCGCGCAAGGTGAAAACGGGCAGAAGAGGCTGGCAGAGAGGCTCCATTCGGAAAGATGCATTGAGAGCTTCGCCAATGTACCCAATCAGATTGCTCACTCTCAGATGCTGGAGAGCAATAGGTCAAGACATCCTGGACAACAATGGAGTCTGCAGAAAACCGCCTCGGAAGGTTACTTCGGGCTGCCATCTTCTGTGCAAGGTCTTGTGCGTCTAGAACAACGGTAGAAACGAAGCGTACCCTCACAACTGTCGAGTCTCCAATTCCCCAAAGGCAACCAGCAGTGGCCCTCCCGACTTTACCCCTCGCACTCCGGACGTGTGCTCATCATGGCTGCCTTCTCACCGCGTCTTTGCTGCATATTGACATGCACTAACGGTCAAGAAGAGCATATTCACTCAAATTCGTTGTCATGGCTTGGCGGTGAATGAGAACATGATATATTAGACCTGCAGGCGGCGGCGACTGACTGCTGTCTACCGGTCCGTTGCATTGTTCACCAGATAGCCGATCAGGAAGCTGCCCCAAGATCCTACCCAAGGAAAAACCACGGTAGCCAGTGACTGACCTCAGCGTGCACTCTGGAGAAGCGAAAAATGTATCCAGTACTCAAGATGTACCACGATTGCGTGGCAGTGCAACATGCAGTTGCCAGGGTCCGCTCAAATCTACACCGATGAAGACAAAGCTGCAGCTTGCTACCATCGTAGATTTTGGGGTTTGTCTGCCTTATACCCATGCCACTAGTCCTCCAGTCGGCTCATGCGCCCTACATCCCGCGGGCTTCAGCAACGACAGCCGCATAATTTGCGCTCCCGGTACTGCTCAACCCGGTTGGCGGTGCCCGTACACACCTGTAGGGACATCCATGTATTGCAGATGACCAATAATCGCCTCCCAGAAATGCATCCTTCACTTTCTGTAATATATCTAAACGTGACGAGTCAGTATTGTCGCTACTCGGAATCTTAGGCACAGGACGGCATACCTTTTTGAATTGGAAGTGCAGCTGCAAAATACCCTGCATCAAGTGACAGGTTAGTATCGACAGGGACAGCAATATGCAAACATAGTGGGAGGACTGCTTTGGACGACCTACCTTATCGAAGCTGCTTTTGAAACCTCGATCCTTCTTGGCGCTGTAATCCCATTCACGATCAACGACGCGGAAGGCAATGTCCTCATACGGCGGACCGGCAATGAATCGTATTAAGCAGGTATCTTCTTCCCCAGCCGGGGCAAATGACTCCCCTCTTCGTCGTCCGTGCTCACGGATAATCTTGAATGTCGGCGCTTTGGTCTTGTCAATGAGATCCGGGTAGAATATGTTGAACTTGTAGCCCTGAACCACTTTGGGTGGCGGGTTGTCGTGATCGTAATGTGTCTGATTGTACTTGTTCCACTCATAACCCATCTGAACGCGGTTGAAATATCGCGGCTTTCGCGGTCGGTATTTATCAGCCCACTGTGGCTTCGTCGCACTGGGTACTGCCTCCTCGGCGTTGAAGATCTCTTCGTTTTCACTGATTCCACGGGCTACCTCCCTCTCGTAAAGCGCCTTCGTCGCTTGCGAAAAGTCCTCATTGCCAGTCGCCGCAAAGCGAGCTGTTCCAGGTGGGGCACTTGGACGTTGAATGCCATTATCTGGCTTGGAAGCAGTAAACGAAGTGTCGGCCGACCTCTCCGTCCCGGCACCGGATGGCGTCATTTCAAAAGCCTTGGGTTTCTCCGGCCCTTGTGCCTGCAGCATTCTTCTACGGCTCTCCTTGATCGCATCGTAGACAATCATGAGCTTCGCCTTTGCTTTCCAAACTAACAAACTCTTCAAAAGCTGCTCCCAGTAGTCCGTGTCGATCGGTTCGTTCGACTGCAGTTTGGTCTTGATCTGCTTTTCCAAAGCCTCTAATTGCTCGTATGACTTTGGCGCCAGGATTTTGTCCACGTCGGAGGAAACAGAGCTGACAGCTCGCTCTTCCGGGCCCTGAGGCTTCAACTTCTGGCGGCGATCATTGCATAGCGCCAGCAGTGACTTCCAGTAATCGCGATTCCTCTCATTCGTCTCTAGTGTGTAATACGAGCTGATATCGGTGTCCAACTCCTTCAGTTCCTGCTCGTTCAGACTTTCAAGGACTTTGTCTGGTGGTGGCACATCAATGTCAACATCGGCATCGTCATCGTCGAATACGTCTCGGTCGGTGTCGATGAAGCGAAGGTTGAAGGCTAGGTAGTCAATAGCTTTGGCTCGGCCTTCTCGAACCCGGATATCGGCCTTCTTCTTTGACTGCTTGAGCACAAACTTGTCTTCATCTGCAACAAAACGCCGCGACTGCTCGTCTTGGCTCAAGTAGTTACTGGTGTTCTGAGGTGGCTTCGTTGGCGGGGCGCGTGCCGGCTTCGAGACTCGATTGTTGGGATCTCTTCTGGGAGATGTGATGTCTCGCTGCCTTGGAGACTTCCACCCCGCAATCATTGCCTGCCGACCAGGATCCATCTTGACTGAAGCAGTGTTCAGTGTCGTGCTGACGTTTTGAGGTTCGTGGTGGAAATCAGTCATGGTTGCCAATGATGTTTTTGACGCCAAAAATTGAGGTGAGTGGCCAATCACGTGCGCCCATCTACCAAGTTCACCGTCGATACTTTGGCGAGGTCAAAGGGGCTCGCCATCCCTCTTGGCAGAGTACAAGTGCCCCTAAAGCATCTGGTTCTTGACAATACTTCGGCAGTAGCCATTCAGTACAAAGTCAGGTCATCTTATTGGGTACAGTTACTTGGGTTACTAAATTAACGTTCAGAAGGTCTCTGACATATTTGCTCCTGCCATGCGAACATTTATCCACATAGACACAGATCCTTTCTTGGAAATGAGCACATAATCGAGGTATACACCGCCATTGTGTAGTACATGACATCCATCATGTAGCGACTGGGATGAACAACAAACGTTGACGGAAACCATGAAAGACATTGAGAATGAAGATGCCGGCTAATGTCCGTTTGACACTGTGTTTCCCTGGTATGGGTAGGCCTTTTTGTAGCAGTCAACGCCCACCACATCTTACATAAGATCTCGAAGACATCAAGGCAAAGCAGTAGTTATTCGACGGGCTAGGGTCTTCTACTGCGCCATGTGCTTTCATGACATACTCCATTGATTTCTAGAACGCATTTGCCAAAGCTTAAAGCTTGAAGGACCGACCGGACGAACAGCCACTGAGTACTGAAAGCTGGGCTGTACAGCTTTCACAGGAGTATCAGTACCCACGAGATCTTTGTTGAGCTTGATTGCACGATCGAGGAAACCCCATTCCTCAGTAGGCTCAATAAAGAAGTAAGCAGCATGTAATTTCAGGAAAACTTCCTGTTCCGCATCGGCGGATGGCCATGAGCGTGGGCTGAAGCGTCGAAATGTCAAATTGACAGCTCCATTGCCTCGGTCATAGTGTGCTGTAATTCTGTTCTTGCCTTGATGTGTTGTGACGGTACCTGAACCCTTCGTCTTCCTCGTCTGTTTGTGATTCTTTTGTCTTGCAATAGTCTGTTCGGTGGTCAGGGGCGAGAGGGGCTACATTCAATTATCAATATCAGGAATTCAAGGGCTGGTGAAATTTGGGGAATGGGCTCACTTTGCTAGATGCCTTGCTCTCATGCTTGATCTCGGGCGCTGCAAAAGACGCCAGAGGAGGGATTGAGGATAAGACCAACTCGGCATCACGCTCCGACTTGACTTTGACACGCTTGGTACCTTCTTCCAACATGACGAGGTCGGTGGCCGCCCGCTTGGTTCCCATATTGAGATTGGGCAAATAGGACTTCAACAGGCTGGATGGCAGAATGAGATAGAGGCTTGTGACCACCCCAAACCGACACTAGAAGCCTTAATGAACGTCGGTCACACGGCGCGACGGGCGTGACCGTCAGAAGCTGCAGAACTTGAAATAAAGAGTGACCTGTCGACAACGACAACTGCGGGAACAAGTGGTGACTGACAAATTGTTACTGTAGAATAGCGGCAATAAGGAAGTTGAAAGGATACGAGGTGATGGCTGATTTGCATTGAAATTGAGGGCTGCAGCCTGGAGAGAGATATTTGCCAAAAGGCAAAGAGGATGTAGTTCAAGGTGGATGCGCAAAAATGTGCTCCTCCTATTTCTCTGAGTAGGTATTCGAATGGACTCAGCTAAACACCGCACCTGCCTCGTTGGCTCCAATATAAGATACAGTGGGTATGAACATTTGAACAAGCGGACCTGAGATCAAAATAACAAAATCAAACTGAAGGGACTCATTAGCTTGTGAATACTGCTGCTCACATATCGCTCTCGATTCCCTTCTTGTAAGCCGTAAGAGCCCGCTCTCTGCTCCCCTTGTGCTCAACAATCGGCTCAGGATAGCCCTTCTTCTTCGCCTGTGCGCCCGCCCCTCGTCCATATGGATCGTGGATAGCCTTGCCCTCAATACCTTTCAGTTCCGGGACCCATTTGCGGATATACTCTCCGTCTGCGTCAAACTTCTCGCTTTGCAGTAAAGGGTTGAAGATCCTGAAATACGGCTGCGGGTCGACACCCACAGAAGCCGCAAAACCCCAACCTCCGTTGTTGCTTGCAAAGTCGCCGTCCACTAAATGCTCCATGAAGAATCGTTCGCCCATTCGCCAGTCGATGAGGAGATCTTTTGACAGAAAGGAGGCGACAATCATCCGACAGCGATTGTGCATCCATCCTACATGTGTGAGTTGGCGCATCGCAGCGTCGACAATTGGGAAGCCAGTGCGCCCCTCAGTCCAAGCTTTGAAGTGTTCTTGATCATAAGACCACTCGATATTGGAGTATTCAGGCTTGAAGGGCTTGTTCATGCTACGCAACGTTAGTAAGCTGAGCAAAAGAATGGCCTGGCCAAACGCTAAGCATTCAGGGGCTGCCATAACGTACCACACATATGGCCAATGAACCAACACGTGCTTGTAGAAGTCGCGCCATGCTACTTCTCCGATCCAGGTCTGGATGCCTTCATTCCCGGCATTGAGCTTCTTCGTCTTGTTACGATCTCTCGCTGTTCTGATTGCCATTCGTGCGCTTAACGTGCCACTGGACAGATGGACCGAGATTGACGATGTCCCTACCTCAGCCGGGAAGTTTCGTTTAGCTGCGTACGTACCGACCTTCTCCTCACAGAACATGTCCAGTCTCTTCTGCGCCTCATGCTCGCCAGGTGGCCATAGGGCCTCGTAGCGCATGGCCTCTTCTGCGCTTAGGCTTTTGTTATTCGGGGCGTTCGGTATCTTGCAGCTGAACAGCTTGGCGAACTTCTTCCGCGCCGCGGGTGCGTTCTTAGCTGGGGGTGGCACTACTTCAAGCAACTCAGGATTGTCCTGCAGATGCACGACATAAGACCTGTACCAGGGGCTATAGACGGCGTATGGCTTGCCGGATCCGCTGGTAAGGCTACCTGGCGGCACAACGCAGGTGTCGTGAACAACTTCGAAAGACAAGCCCTTCTCGGCAAGTGTCCTCACCATGTCTGCTTCTCTACGGAGCTCGTCCACCTCATACTCCATATTTGCAAACAAATGGCTCGCACCCCACTCTTGCATCAGGTCGACTATGCGTTTTGGGATCGTTTTCCTCTTCTCAATGGTCTCAACATACAGCGGTATGTCGAGCTTCGCGAGATCGGCTCTCAAGATGTCTAATGTGCGCAGCATGAAGTTGACGCGGGGAGCCGACGTCAGATGCGCCTCGAAGTCCTGGGGGCTGACAATGTATAAAGCAATAAGAGGAACCCCGGCTTCCTTCGCCTTTTCACCTGCCAGAGACAACGCGCGGTTGTCCGCTGTGCGAAGGTCCATTTTGAACCAGTGAACAACCGCATCCTTGACTGCAACCTTCTTCCTCTGGGTTACTGTGTCGGCCATAGCCGAGTTCAGCAGCTCAATAGGTCGCGGTAACTCGTCGCTGTTGTACGCCCGTGCACGAGCGTTGCTCATCTCGTGTGGGTAGAACTTCCGCAGGACAATGCCATTCTCTTCGGACTCTTGGTAGAATGGGTGAGGTTCGCGCAATGGGTCTGAGGACTTGACCTTAGGCTTCTTGCTTGCTCCATTGGTCGCGCCATTTGTCGGCGCTGCGCGCTTCGCTCCCTTCTTGGGCGGCATTGTAGAAAGCTGTAATTGCGAACGTGAAATGGCGATGCTGTTGGTTATCTTGAGTGTATGAGATGCGCACCGGATCGCGGGAGTTCGCCAGCACAAGACATACATAAGTATAGTGAAAGAGAAAAGAGAACTTCCTACCGAAATTGCCTACCTGAAGATTATTTCAGCTGCATGGCGACCTACCTTACATCTATGATGGCATGTACCTGACATGCTTTTGGATTGCTCGATCTTAGCACGCGTCATGATGTTTCTGAATCGATCACTGTTCCGTCCCAGTGGCTTGGTTAGTGTGACCCTGCGGGAGCCTAAGCCATTGGCGCTAACCCAATCCCTGAACCAGCCTGCCAGGCTACCTATCCTGCACAGGGACCTTAGGTGCAGACTGCAAGTGCGATTTATCATTTCTGGCGATTCGGGTGATTGGCAGCAACATGTCAAGATTGCGAGCTGCTCTTCACTCCAGTTAGAGAGCTTAGAATGTGAGCAAACAGTTTGGGCAGTTCTTCGATAATATTGGTAGTCCATTTAGTGATTTGCCCCTCATGGCACAAAGCACTTGCTTTGCCAATGGGTCATGCTTTCATTTTGAAGGCTCGAGGACGCTCATTCAAGCAGATCGACCAGGAGAATGAACGAAGAGAGACAGCACATTATGTGAGACCCGTATCTGTACCATGACGGACGACTTGAGCATCACGGCTTTTTCAAGGCCTGTAATCAATCTACGGCGCGGAGACTATCGAAGTAGCCCCAGAATGCTCGAACATGGGCTGCACCCGGGAGTGCATCCGAGCAGACTTTTCCAGCCGGTAGCACGGGGGATCCAAGGGCAATCATTCGCATATGAATTTGGAGGGACAATCGGCCAAGATTCACGATCACGGATCTCGAGGTCTCGCGGGGTCTCGTCAACGTGGTTGTCGTATGCCTTATTGATGGCAAAGATGCAATTCCGTAGCGTCTAACTCCATGACAATTGGTCGATGTCCGCCTTTCCCAGATGCCCAGAAGACAACCACACACTCCTGACTTTTTCCGTCAACATGACGAGCTGCGGGCCAGAAGTTGGCGGGGCCGCAAGAGTTCACCATCTATCCATCCGTCCGTCCCCAAATCCTTCAGAGGCCGCCGGCTTATCTGACCGGGTTCCAGACGCTCTTGAGGAGGCCATCGCGTTGTGCCAGTCGGTTCAGCGCATCGTCGCTCTCGCCCATCGCTCGGACGAAACCGCAGAGGGCGTAGACGTGGTTCTCGCCCTGGACGGCACGACCGTTCTCGTCGACCTTGGCGATAGAAATCTGGACAGAGGCGTGGTCCTTGGCCTTGATGATGCGGTTGGTAGCGCTGCACTTGCGCGGGACATACCTAAGGAGGGGCAGTCAGTACTTATGATCTTGCACATGTCCTTCGCTGTCGAACTGAGAACGGATCGGGTTGTGAGGCGGGCTTACAAGTCGACGATCTCGCCACGGTCGTTTTCCATGTTTGCGGCTTGTGTAGGGGAGCCTTGATGTGGATGTGAGAGGTGATTGTGTGTGTTTGTCGGAGATGGACTGTCGCAATCGATGAGGCGCTGGGGGATGGGTGCAAAATTTCGAAAGAAATTCGTGTGCGGGAGCTAGACTCAAACGGTACCAAACTCAGGTCACATGAGAGATCATGTGACAGCGCGGAGCTTTCGTGGGGCCGGTAGACCAAGACTGACTCGGAGCCGGCGCTACGGCGGCCCCTCAGGTCCTGACCTTGTGTTGTGTTTGACGCGAGTCGGAGCGCCCACCAGCTCGATGTTAGCGCATTCATCCATGATCCATCCATTCATCGCCAACAATCAACCCCCGACTAACTAAGCCGGGTGGCAATGTCTCAGCATCCTTTCATGTGCCCCATTTCCGTCCAAATCCTCGATCCTGTCGCTCCCAATTGCATTGAAATGCGCGCTGCGCATTCGGCTTCGCGCCTCCGTCTTCTACTCAACGCTTCGCACGATGCCGCCATCCGCCGGTGTCATGCTGTCGTCCCCGGCGCGGCAAACCCTCCATGACCGCCTCATCATGCTCTCCTCCTCGCCTGTTTTCCCATCGCTTGACGATCTCATTGCAAGAAGTCCAAAGAAATCAGCGCTTCGAAGTGGCAGCCGTGCTGCACCAATACCCGAAAACGCAACCCGTTCATTCACCAGCGCCGCGGATCTGTTGCGCGCAGGGCAGACCGAGACGGAGGAGGAGGAGGTGCGGGATGTGGTTGATCGTGAGCCACCTCAGAAGAGTCGCAAGGCCCCCAAAACTGCAAAGGCACCCAAAGTTTCGAAGAAATCAACACGGGCACCAAAAACTGTCATTGATCTTTCTGTCGACACGCCGACAGCTGAACCTGTAGTGCCAACTACAAAGCGACGCCGGAAGCCACTTGCTGAGAAAAACTGCAAACCGGTTTCCAAACCGGAGAATGCTGCCGAGCAGTGCTCCAGTCCACTAAAGGAGAAGCCTTGGAAGAAATACAAAGCTGCGCAAGACGAAGATCATCAAATAGACGCACCCGAGGAAGAGTTGAATGTATCGAACTCATTGGAAAGGAAAGATACGAAGGACTTGGCCAAAACTAGCAAGCAGTCCTCGAAGAAGCCCACGGCTTCCAACAAAATCTCCAAGTCGACAACACCAGAACCCCTCAATCTTGAGCATTCACTGCCACGACGACTTGATTGGACCCCGCCAAAATCAGATGCCATCAATCTCATGTCAGACGCATCCGAAGCTCAAGAAGCTCATGCACCGGGGTCATTAGATACAGCCGATATGGCGAAAGACGTCTTTAAGAATCTCAGGGACAACTATGGATGCAACGAAGGCAAGGCCATCTCAGTCCGCGGGCAGTCCGAACAACCCAATACGCTCGGCAAACGAAAGTTAACAGACTTGGAAACCACCACTGAGTCGAAGGAGGGTGGTGGACCTGCAAAACCAGTCCCCAAAGTCAAAACGAAGGCACCCAGGAAGAAACCAAGGACAATTACTGAACTAGCGACAGCAGCGTACGTCGTCAAGCCTGCTGAGCCACAAGACTCAAGTGATCCCTCACAGATTGGCCATCAACAAGCATTAACTATCATAGAAGAGGGCCAGGATTCTGCAGGTCTCGCAGGGGCTGCCAAACAGAAAAGGAAGGCGAAGGCATCCAAAGCGACGAAAAAGAAAGCTGAACCAAAAAAGCAGATTCTATTATCTCCTCAGGCTGCGCTGAGGCAATCAGCCGCACAGGATTTTGTGTTTGGAACATCGAGTCAACTGGCTTTCGAGCAATCTCCTACGTTTCTTAGGGATCTACAAGCAGCGATTCAAGCGTCTAATGCTGCTCAAGACAACCCTTTCTCCAGCCCCATTCAAACTACAGCAGCTGCTAGACGTAAGACAAGCAGAAAGCTTTGGTCAGTTGGCGCCAGGGATGAAGATGGGGAATTGCTCGATCTAGAGGTCATCGATCTTGTGAACTCTCCCACTTTCCCTGAAGAAGACGCGGTACTCAACCCCATTCTCAATCCCTGGAAAGACCTGCCCCCAGAACCCGCATCACTTGCCGGTGATTCACTAGAAGTCGAGGTTCTAGATGTGGGTTCCGCTGGTGAAGTCCCAAAATCGCACTTCTTCCAGACTCTGCAGGCTGCAAAAGCTGTTTCCGAAGCAGTAGGCATAGACACTTCAGCCGGAGCTTGCGAGCCATCCGCCGCAAACAAATCGGTCGAGATAGATGATGAACCACCTCCAAGCAATCAACAACAAAGCCAAGAGGATCCTGCATGCGCTAAGTCGTCAAACATACGTAAAGAAGCACCGCGACCCAAGTACGAGCTTTTCACCGACATTCAATTGGCGAAACAGATTAAGTCATATGGCTTCAAGCCAGTGAAGAAAAGATCCGCAATGATTGCACTGCTTGATCAATGCTGGACAAGTAAGAACCAAAGGTCGCTGCAGCCGTCCGCCACTTTCTCGAGTACTGCGGCTGCTTCTGGGCCGCGAGGAAAGTCTTCTGATGGCCCACGAGCCGCATCCGAAACAGTCAGCCCTCCAAAACCACGAGGCCGCCCAAAGAAGACTGCCCTTGATACTACAAAGCCCACTTCCAATAAGGTAGCAGCGTCTCCTAAACGTCCTAGGGGCCGACCACGAAAGGATTCTTCAGCTGCCCTCCCAGAGGCTTCGGGCGTGTCTCAGCCACAAGCAACCATCGTTTCGACGCCGAAGCGAAAGGCGATATCGACACAATTGCTTGCAGAGATAGCAGATTCGGATTGTGAAGAGATGCCGTCTCCGTCTTTGGTGTCCCCGGAACAGGGCTTCTCACCAGCCGGCGTGAATCTAGCTGCTAGTGAAGAGGCTGAAACAGAAATGTCCTTGACGGTTGACCCAACGGATCAACAAGCAGCCCTGTTTAAACATATCACAAAGGCGGTAACTACAGCACCGAGGTCGAAGGATTCATCGAACCCTTCTTGGCACGAGAAGATGCTCATGTATGACCCGATCGTCCTAGAAGACCTTGCAGCCTGGCTCAACTCAGGGCAATTGACACAAGTTGGGTTTGATGGAGAAGCGTCACCGGCTGATGTCAAGAAGTGGTGCGAATCAAAGAGTATTTGCTGTCTTTGGAGAATTAACGTGAACGGCAAGGAGAGAAAGCGTTTCTAAGTAGCTGTATAGAAGTGCTGGCAAGCCGTTTCAGTCCAGGTCTAGATATTTTCCAAGCCACGGCGCAAATGAACATGATAAATGAATAAACTTATATAAATAATCAGACTACAATTACCCTGAATATCATTTTGCACTCTACTTCTGAATTCAACTAATTCAACTCGAAATGTCCAAATTTTGCGAGTTTTTGAGCCGTATCATTGTGTGTTGTGCAGATGATGCGCGGTGCGGGACCTCGGCACAGTCCAGTGCAGTAGGCCGACTAAGTCAGGGAAACGGTCTCCGGCCATGTGCTTGGACTCCTCAATC